ACATCACCTTGCCAACAAAGGTCCGTATAGTTCAAGCTCTGGTTTTCCCAGTAGTGATGTATGGAAGTGAGAGCTGGACCATAAAGAAGGCTGATCGCCGAAGAATGGATGCTTTTGAATTCTGGTGCTGGAGGAGACTCTGGAGAGTCCCATGGACTGCAAGGAGATCCAACCTCTCCATTCTTAAGGAAATCAGCCCTGAGTGCTCACTGGAAGGACAGATCCTGAAGCTGAGACTCCAATACTTTGGCCACCTCAGGAGAAAAGAAGACTCCCTGGAAAAGACCCTGATGTTGGGAAAGATGGAGGGCACAAGGAGAAGGGGACGACAGAGGACGAGATGGTGGGACAGTGTTCTCGAAGCTACCAGCATGAGTCTGACCAAACTGCGGGAGGCAGTGGAAGACAGGAGTGCCTGGCGTGCTCTGGTCCAGGGGTCACGAAGAGGCGGACACGACTAAACGACTAAACAACAACAACAACATTTAATAAATGTTCATGAATGTACCAAGCAAACACGTACATAAATATATAAACCACATGTCTGGAGCAGCACAGGAAGACCGTCCTGAAACCATTTTGACTCCCAAACTGACCAAATGTTTTCTCTGCAAGGAGGGAGGGGGTGAGGGAAACTTCCCATTGTCTCAGGAAGTGGGTAATCACCATCTCAAAGGAATGGCCAGACTACCAGGAAAGGCAATCAGATAAGGCATTATCGGATAATCTGGCAGACAGGAAAAACAACAACATTCAAATTTCTGTTGTAGACCCCCCTTTCTGTGATGTAGGTATTATGTGTCGGGGGGGGGGGCAATTTAAAATGTCTTTATAAGAGCAGGCACACCTTTGTTCTGTTGCAACAGTTCAATAAAGATCAGGCTTACTGGCTGCTTTGTTTCTCAATATTCTCTGGTTGGCCTCTGTTATTTTCCCCTACCGATGGAGAACCTACAAAGGACTCTATAAGGGCTCTTGTGTCCCGCATAAGGGAATAAGGGCAGATTTTGTTTACAACATTATTTAATCGATACAGGATATAGCATTTTACACTGATATACACTAGTGGCCAAAACTGAGGAAACCTTTTGGAAAAAGTGTATTTCCGAGGTTTAATGGCTCATAACACCACTACATTCTTCATTAACTTATCTTTCCATTGATGTATAATTTTATGGTATTATGCAAAAAAAAAAAAAGAAGTGTTATGAGCCATCAAATCTCGGAAATGCTTTCTCCATAAGGTTTCCACAATTTTGTCCACTAGTATAAGCAGGGCTTTTCCTTCAGCCAGTACTCCCCAGAACTCAGTTCCAGCAACTCTCAGGTGGGCGCCAGGGCCATTCTAAGAGAACGAGGGAGGTGTTCGTGGTGAGTTCTGGCACCTATTTTTATACAAAGGTAGCACTGGATATAAGGGACAATCCTGTATCATACAGGGCAAGTGGCAACCCTAGCAGGGCCTTCACTGCAGTGGCTCCCAAATTGTGCAACTCCCTCCCCGCAGAAGTGTGCCTGGCACTGTATAACTTACAGTAGAAGGGACACGGGTGGTCATGTGGTCCAAACCACAGAGCCTCTTGAGCTTGCAGACTGTAAGGTCGGCGGTTCGAATCCCCGCGATGGGATGAGCTCCCATTGCTCTGTCCCAGCTCCTGCCAACCTAGCAGTTTGAAAGCACACCAGTGCAAGTAGATAAATAGGTACTGCCGCAGCCGGAAGGTAAACGGCGTTTCCTTGCGCTGTGCCACTCATCATGGTGTACTTTTGTGCCAGAAGTGGTTTAGTCATGCTGGCCACATGACCCAGAAAGCTGTCTGTGGACAAACACCAGCCTGAAGCGAGATGAGCACTGCACCCCACAGTCAAGTTTGACTGGACTTAAATGTCCAGGGGTCCTTTACCTTTGGCGTTTCTCTCAACATCCAAAAAACCAAAGTGCTGCACCAACAAGTACTAAACAACCCCTCTGCAGTGCCACAAATCCAACTCAATGGTGTAACATTGATAAATGTTGATCACTTATCCTACCTGGGCAGTTATCTTTCCACAAGGGCCGACATTGATGCCGAAATCCAGCATCGCCTGAGCTCTGCAAGTGTGGCTTTCTTCCGATTGAAGTGCAGAGTGTTTGAGGACCGGGACATTCGCAGGGAAACCAAAATGCTTGTTTGCAAAGCTATTGTACTACCAACCTTAATGTATGCTTGTGAAACATGGACCACTTGTAAACACCATCTCCAACTCCTTGAAATATTCCATCAGCGGTGTCTCTGAAAAATTTTACTCATCACTTGGGAAGTGTAAGTAATGTGTAATAGCGAACTAATACCAGTGTACTGGAAGAAGCAAAGATCCCCAGTGTTGAAGCAATGATTCTTCAGCATCAACTTTGTTGGACTGGACATGTTGTGTGGATGCCTGATGATCGTCTTCCAAAGCAACTGCTCTACTCTGAACTTAAAAATGGAAAGCGCAATGCTGGTGGTCAACAAAAGAGTTTAAAGACTGTCTCAAGGCAAATCTTTAAAAATGTAATATAAACACCAACAATTGGGAAACACTAGCCTGCGACTGCTCCAATTGGAGAACAGCCTTTACCAAAGGTGCCATGGGCTTTGAAGACACTTGAACTCAGGACGCAAGGGAGAAAAGTGCTAAGAGGAAGGCACACTAGGCAAACCCTCACCATGATCAACTCCTGCCAGAAAACCTATGTCCCCACTGTGGAAGGACGTGTGGATCCAGAATTGGCCTCCACAGTCACTTACGGACTCATGATTAAAACCATGTTTATGGAAGACAATCTTACTCGGCTACGAGGGATCGCCAAAGAAGAAGAATACTGAAGGGATTGCCCTGGCTTGAGGTGTATGTATTTAGGACCCACTTTATGATTGTAAGGGACGCGGGTGATGCTGTGGGTTAAACCACAGAGCCTAGGGCTTGCCGATCAGGTCGGCGGTTCGAATCCCCGTGACGGGGTGAGCTCCCGTTGCTTGGTCCCTGCTCCTGCCAACCTAGCAGTTCGAAAGCACGTCAAAGTGCAAGTAGATAAATAGGTACTGCTCCAGCGGGAAGGTAAACGGCATTTCCGTGCGCTGCTCTGGTTCGCCAGAAGCGGCTTAGTCATGCTGGCCACATGACCTGGAAGCTGTACGCTGGCTCCCTCGGCCAATAAAGCGAGATGAGCGCTGCACCTCCAGAGTTGGCCACAACTGGACCTAATGGTCAGGGGTCCCTTTACTTTTACCTTATGATTGTAAGTTGTTTTCAATATTGTGTTTTAATGCTGTAACCTGGCCTGGGACCTTAGGGTGAAGGGCAGGGGAACAAACAAACAAATCGTGATTTGATGACAATGGCGTTGTTACGGAATGCTAATCTTGTACCAAGGACTTGTCTGGACATGTTTGCCAAGTTTAAACTGGTGTAACCCCTGTCTACCCCCCCCCTTTTGTGACATGTCAGTGATGTAGCAATGATGCTGTACGAACTGTATTCTGGGATATGGTGGGAAAGATTTAGAAGTCCTTGTCACCCCATCCTCGGGGTTCAAAATTCCTCTTTGAACCTGTTGTGCAATAAACTTTGGTCTACAGCTATTTGCTCCAGTTGGTGGCTGGACTCCTTCCTTTATTCCGCAGGGACCCGTGGGCTCAGCCCAATAAGCTGGGTGACTGAGCAGCCTCACACCTAGATTTTTCCATAACAGGCATGTACACAGACCCTTGCAGTTAGAAATGAGTTGTGTTTCTCCCAGTTTAGCCTCTAGGTTTGGGGTCCATCATAAATATCTGCCCAGAGGTTTCTTCTCCCCTAGCACCCTCCACTCTGCAGCTTCCCCTGATCCAAACGTACATTGCAAGGCAAGGAGTGAGAAACGCTTAAAACCCACAGATTTTTATTTACCATTGACAAGACAGGAAACAGTAGATTCCACACAAAGGAGCTACATCAGTCACCTATCGGTCTACCGCAGCCTGCGTGACGGTTGCAGTGCTCAGGGTCAGGGCAGAGAGATCCCTACATCTGGATTCTGGACAGCACCTTATGGATCTGGGGGCAGAAAGCCCGGCTCCCAGATAAAACTCTTCGGAAAGAAGATGATGTTGAGAAGGAGAAAAGGGAGGGTTTGGCTGGGCTTCTTCCCTGGACTCCAGGCACCAAATTTGCAGCAGCAAGGGGAAAGGACCAGAGTGCATGTGTGTTTCATTTCCTGGCATGTAGGACACCTGAATGAGTCCTTTCTGAATACACTCTCTTGCACGATGTAGCTTAATCTGCAAGTACTTGGTCCTTTGCTTGCAACTCTCCGAGTTCAGCAAAGCCAAACACGATCTATTGTCTTGATACACTTGTACAGGACATTTCACAGAAACTCCGATGTCCTTAAACAGTTGCATCAACCATTCACAATCCATGAGTGAAAATGACAGAGCATTGAGTTCTGCTTCACAGGAACTTAGGCTCACTGTCGTCTGCTTTTTGCACAACCAGTCAAACAGGCAGTGGTTGTACATGTAGCATACTCCAGAAGTGCTTGTACCATCCGTGGTGTCACTTCCAAAACTTGCATCTGCAAAGATTTCAAGACCTCCAGTCTTCTGACTGGTGAACCTCAGCCTGTAGTGCATAGTCCCTTTCAAATAGCGGGCTATGCGCTTCAGAGCTTTCCAATCCTGAACAGTAGGATTGTTGGCATGTCTGCTAAGCAGGTTAGTGCTTACAGCTATGTCAGGTCTTGAGCATCTAGCAATGAAATTCAACTTGCCTAGAATGCATCTGTACAGCGTTGTGTCAGAAAGCGCTTCAGCAGTACTATCTACCTGGTAACCTGTCACCATCGGTGTGTCTGCTGGGTTTGCATCAACCAAATTCAACCTGGTTAATACATCAGCAATTTTCTGTGTTTGGTGTACCAGAAAATTACCTGCTTGGTCCCTCTCCACCTGCAGAGAAAGATAGTTGGATACCTCACCAAGATCCTTCATGTCAAAGTGCTCCTTCAGCTGAGCTAGGGTGCTTTGATAAAAAGCCTGATTCTTCCAAAACATCAGAAGATCATCAACAAAACATAAACAATACAGTTTGTTTTGCCCCTCCTCCTTGACAAACACACATGGATCAGCTTTGCCCTGGTGAAAACCTAAGGAAAGCAATGTCTCAGTGAGTTTTGTGTTCCAACACCTGGCACTCTGCTTGAGACCATATAAGGATTTCCGCAGTTTACAGACCATTCCCTTCTGTATCTGCATCCCGTCAGGTGGAAGCATAAACAGCTCCTCCCCCAGAACCCCGTACAAAAAAGCTGTATTAATGTCATGATGGGAAACATGCAGTTTCTCCTCTGCAGCGATCTTGAGCATCAGCCGAATACTCTCATATTTGACGGTGGGTGAGTAGGTCTCGTGGTAATCCTGTCCTGGTACCTGTGAAAAACCTCTGGCAACCAATCTGGCTTTGTGTCTGATAACCTTGCCATTCTGGTCTGTCTTGGCCTTGAAGACCCATTTGCTGCCAACCAGTTTCATCCCTGGGACTACCGGTACCAATTCCCAAGTTTGGTTCCTGTTCAAGGAATCAACTTCAGCCTTCATGGCATTAAGCCAAGGCTCAGCATCTTTAGAGGTTAACTCCTGAACCTCTTTGGAAGCTTGAAGGTTCCCATACCTTCTCTGAGCTACTAAGAACAGCAGTTGCTGTCTTAGCAAACTCATCAGCCAGAACCAAAGATTCTCATGTGCTTGATGTTGGGTTTCTTACCAAACATCTTCTCATAGGAAGTACAACCAATAGGTGATGACAACCTGCGATTAAAAGTGTAAACAAACGAGTTCAAAGACTCCCCCCAAAACTTCTCAGGGAGATTGGCATCATGCAACAATGTTTTCAGTCCTTGCAGCAACGTTTGCTTTGCTTGCTCACAAATCTCCCATGGAGATCCAGGACTTGAGAGGCTATGCTGGATTCCCTTCTCAGTCAGGAAAGCTTCAAACTGCTGAGAAGTGAACTCCCGCCTCGATCAGTAAACAGACAGCCAATACGTTTACCGTGAACATTCTCCAACCAAGCACAGAATGCCTTGAACTTAGGAAACGCTTGCGATTTCTGCTCGAGCATAAACACATGAATGTACCTGGAAAAAGAATCAATTAGAACCATGAAGTACCTTGCTCCACCCAAAGAGGGCGCAAGTGGACCAACCAGGTCTGCGTGCACTAGCTGGTGGAGTCCTTGCCGCTGAATTATCTACAGGCCAACCTCAGACATATTGGAAGGGGGAGAGGCAGGTCTTCCAATCAAAAGGCGTATCTTCCGGCTTGATTTGAGATCCAGCAGCACCTCTCTTTTGAAACCCAGCAGATGAGTTTTCGAAGGAAGGCGAGAAAGGACAATTTCCTTCACCCCAAGGGCAAATGGTTGGGCCGGCTCCTCAAATGTGACATAGAAATTGAGCCATAGAATGATCGCGGAATTCGGCAGCAAGAATATTATTGGCACAAAAATGGAAGCAAGAAGAATTACCGACGAAAGAAGAATGGCAAATGAAATGAATGGACTATGCAGAATTAGATAAATTAAGAGGAAGGATTCGAAACCTGCGGGACCAGAGATTCTTAGAAGACTGGAGTAAATACTTGAACTATTTGAAAAGCAATTGTAATAAACAGATTATGCTAGTAGGACTGCAAGGAGGAGTATGTGAAATATTGCAAGGAAGACTATGAAGAGAATTATTAGTTAATGATAATTAAAAGTAATGGAGAAACTAAGAAATGTAGAACAAGTGATAAAGAACGGAAAATCTTCAGAGGTTGTTGTCGGAAGTCTAAAATATATATATAAAAAGAACGATTGCGGAATTCAGTGGTGGACTTGAGTACTATGGCACCTGTCAGGCTTCAGGGAATCGCCCCCCCCCCCGGTGGCAGTAGATAAGCAGAACAAAGGAAAAGGAGTCTTCTTACCAGTTAGAAACTTTAATAATCACAGCAAGAGAACAAAGAATCCATCTCCTAGAAATGGTGGTGCTCCGAATTAAGAATCCCACCCCCTTACGTCCTTATTAATCCACATCACTGCTACGTCTTGTAATCTGAGTCTGTCCCCTCTGTGCTTTGTGTGCTTTCTGTTTTGCCGCTTTCTCAGCTCTTCTTGACCTTGGGGAAAGCGGAGGAATGCTTTCCAGAGACAGTGAATCTGTTAACCCTCTCTCTCCCAATGTTTCTTCTCCTAGCTGTTCCCCATCCAGTATTTCCCAGCTGCTGCCTTCTGAACTACGTCTCTCTACAAACCACTGTTCCAAATCTATACTGTCTTCCTGCTCCTGGGAAGATTCAGGGTCTGGAGCAGGGGGGTGGACTTCCCCCATTCCTCCTCAGTGCAGCCCTCCTCAACACAGTCCCTGACAACACCCTGTGCGAGGCCAACATTTGACATCCCAGCCCTCTCACTGCCTTCCCAAAGGTGGGTAAGGAGGCGCCAGACTTTGGAAAGGAGGTGCAAGGGCTCTGGCAGAGTCCCAGAGCCCTTCCAGCTCCTTCCCAAAGCTGGGAAAGCACTAACTAGGCTTTTGGAAGGAGGCGGAAGGACTCTAAGACACTGTCAGAGCCTCATGCGTCCTTCCCAAAGCCGAGCACCTCGGCTCAGCACCCAGTGCGGGTGCCCCACAAGCATAGCCCTAAATCCATCCCTGCAGAATTATTACACCTGATTTTGCCAAGCTGGAGCTGCTCCAGCTGTTCTGGACTAAAATTCCCATCAGGCCCAGCCAGGTTGTGTCCTGCCCAGAGGGCTGTCTTAATATAAGTCATGCTAGTCTTTCCAGGGTCCCAAGCAGAGAAGCATCTTCCTTTTGTGGCCTCGCCAGCTAAGATGCTTTTAACAGGACACGCCAGGGACGAACCCCTGGTCTCTCACCCCTGAACTAGCTAGGACTAGCTTTTAGCTTCTGAATTTGTCCCTTATTATTCACACCAGCTGTCAGCAAAGTTGGGCACTGGCCCCAGAGACTCAGAGGGGCCCCTTCACTGGCCCAACGACCATCCCCTTGCCCAGCTTTGGGGGGCATTGTGTTTCAAGTAAAGATTGTAGATGGGCACCAAGCCTAGCTGGAATTCCGCTATCGGCCCACCATCTAGACTCAGGTTGTGTAGACAGGTAAATAAACCATATATCGTAGAGACGCCACAGTCTCTGCTGTGCCCAATTTCCAAATGAAGACCAGACCCTGGGTCAAGCACGCCTGCAACCCCTGAAACGCGCACCGTTTGGAGATTGGGGTGGCATGTCGAAATGCAATAAATAAGAGAAGAGGGAGAGGGGAGCTGTTGCATGGGCATCGTTCAAGGCCATGCTGTGGGCATGGGTGGCAAAGAAAGTCCCCAGTCTTTGATTTTGAGGATTATGACAGCCGGGCCTTTGTCTGCCCACTCTCTAGTCTCTGGCGAAGGACAGCCCGGACCTCGCCACACCTGCAGGCAAGCGAGAGTTGCCCGGCTGCGCTCAAAGTGTGATTCTGTCCTCAAAGATGGAAAGCACCAGCAGGATGCCCCAGCCAGCCAAGAGTCCCACGTTTTGCAGGGCAAAGAGGAGCCATGGACGCTTATCTTTCACGTTCATCAGGGCCGGGAGCTGCAAACCAGAGCAGAGAGGGAAGATTAGCGAGCACCACAGAATGGGTCCCACAAGCCCAGTCTCCTTGTGCCCCCGATTTCCGTCTAATTCTTTAACCCACCCCTTCCTTGTCCTGCTCCTCAGGAATTGCCCGCAGAACTCATTCATGCCTGCCATCTATTGTTGGTGTACATCAGAGACAGTGTGGTGCAGCGGTTAGGGCATCATACTAGGACCCAGGAGACCAAGGTTCGAATCCACGCTCGGCCATCACAAAGCTCCCTGGGCCAGCCATTGCCTCTCCTTCACAGGGCTGTTGCTGTGGGGATTAATTAAGATGGGAGGGAGAACCATGTACGATACTGTGCACTCCTTGGAAGAGAAGGTGAGATATAAACCAGGCAGAGGGCCTTCTCGGTGGTGGCACCCGCCCTGTGGAACGCCCTCCCATCAGATGTCAAGGAAATAAACAACTATCTGACTTTTAGAAGACATCTGAAGGCAGCCCTGTTTAGGGAAGTTTTTAATGTGTGATGTTTTATTGTGTTTTTAATGCCCTGCTGGAAGCTGCCCAGAGTGGCTGGGGAGGCCCAGCCAGATGGGCGGGGTATAAGTAATAAATTGTTGTTGTTGTTGCAACCAATAAATAATCAAGCGTAAGAAGAGGCAGATGGCAGGATCAGGCCAACAGGGCCTATTGAGTCCAGCATCCTGTCCTCCTTGCAGATGACTATGGGATGCCCAGAGGCGAGGCCTGTGCCACTCTTGCCCCACTTCCGACCCCCAGCTACTGGTATATTCGGAGACATCTGGTCTGAGCAAACTACAGAGTTTAGCCATGCCTTTTTCTTTGGTCCAGAATCTACATATATTATTATTAATAATAATAATAATAATAAATTTTATTTATACCCTGCCCTCCCTAGCCAAGACTGGGCTCAGGGCGGCTAACACCAGGTATAAAAACAATTGATTAAAATACAACTTTAAAACAAGATTAAAGTACAACATTAAAATGCAGCCTCATTTCAGTAGAAACTCAAATCAAAAACTTTTTTGGGACGATACAGCTTCATTGTATAGAGTTCTAGCACCCACTTTCCCCAGACCTTTCAGGGGTGCCGACTCGCCCTCAGGATCATGGGTGCCCGCCGTCACAACGGGATGTGTGACGGCACACACGCTACATGCAGGCATGTGTGCGTAATGGCGCACGTCTGCATTGCGGCAGTTGATGGCAGCGGCTCCTCTTCTTCTTCCTCTACACAGCCAGTGGAAGGGCTGGGACTCGGAGGCAGAGAGACCCTGCTTCTGTGTCTGAGCCTCCCCCCGCCCCAGAAAAGGGTGCCTCGCTGGCTGGCCAGTATACCTGAAGGAGCGTCTCCACCCCCATCGTCCTGCCAGGACACTGAGGTCCAACACCAAGAACCTTCTGGCGGTTCCCTCCCTGCGAGAAGCAAAGCTACAGGGAACCAGGCAGAGGGCCTTCTTGGTGGTGGCACCCGCCCTGTGGAACGCCCTCCCACCAGATGTCAAAGAGATAAACAACTACCTGGCATTTAGAAGACATCTGAAGGCAGCCCTGTTCAGGGAAGCTTTTAATGTTTAATAGGTTATTGTATTTTAGTGTTCTGTTGGAAGCCGCCCAGAGTGGCTGGGGAAGCCCAGCCAGATGGGCAGGCTACAAATAATAAATTACTATTACTATTACTATTACTATTACTATTACTATTACTATTACTATTACTACTGGCTGTGGAAGGTGGAGCTGGACCGCTTCTCTCTCAGAGACAGCACTGCTGCTGGCTGACTTGGTGACCTTGACTATGTGGGTACCCAGACCCCAAAATTATATTCTTGTGGGTGCCCAAGCACCCATGGCCTCCTGGAGTTGACTCATATGACACCATTTGTAATTTTACATGCTTCTCTCATTTCCCCACTTACACATGTTTTCCCTAAACTAGTAAAGGTAAAGGGACCCCTGACCATTAGGTCCAGTAGTGGCCGATTCTGGGGTTGCGGCGCTCATCTCGCTTTACTGTCCGAGGGAGCCGGCGTACAGCTTCCGGGTCATGTGGCCAGCATGACCAAGCTGCTTCTGGCGAACCAGAGCAGCGCACGGAAACGCCGTTTACCTTCCCGCCAGAGCAGTACCTATTTACAATCATACCTCGGGTTGAAGTCGCTTCAGGTTAAGCCTTTTTGGGTTGTGCTCCGCAGCGACCCGGAAGTAACGGAGCAGGTTACTTCCGGGTTTCACCACTCACGCATGCGCAGGCGCTCAAAATGATGTCATGCGCAGAAGTGGTGAATCGCGACCCGCAGACGCGCGGACGTGGGTTGAGTTCGCTTCAGGATGCAAACGGGGCTCCAGAACAGATCCCGTTCGCATCCAGAGGTACCACTGTATCTACTTGCACTTGACGTGCTTTTGAACTGCTAGGTGGGCAGGAGCAGGGACCGAGCAACGGGAGCTCACCCCGTTGCGGGGATTCGAACCGCCGACCTTCTGATTGGCAAGTCCTAGGCTCTGTGGTATAATAATAATAAGGTGGGAGAATGGTAAGAAAAGGAGAACAACTGCCAGGGGTATACCTCTCCCTACTTACCATATCGCACAGGGCCACGTAGAGGAAGAGGCCAGTGGCCACGGTGAAAATCCAGGCCTCGAACTCTTCTCCCGTGGACACAGAAAGTGCGATGTAGAGGCCTACGAAGGCTGTGAGGGCGCTGAGGAAGTTGAGCAGCAAAGCCCACTTGACGCTCAGCCCGGCGTGGAGCAGTGCGGCAAAGTCCCCTGCAAAGGCGGGAGGAAGATGGTCAGCCATTCATTAGCTGAGATTCCTGCATTGCAGGAGGCTGGACTAGATGATGTCGGGGTTCCCCTCTACGTCTATAATTCCATTATTCTACTAGGAGCGGTGGCAGTTGGCCAGGTATCACGCAGCCCGAAGGAGACACCCCGTCGATATCATTTGGGGGTGGAGGGGAAGCACCTGCCTTCAGATCCCTGCTCAGAAGCTGCCCAGGATCTACCTCCTAGGCAACACTGCCTTATCAGGAGCTTGCGAAGAAAAAAGCACACCAAGAACTCTGGCCAATATAAATTTCAGCAGTGGGAGTGGTCCCTACTAGCAAACCAATAGTCAATTGTAACAAAAGCTAATCCATTCAGAAGTATGTATTCTGACAAGGATTACAAACTCAAATAGAGATTATAAACTCAAACACAGATTAGAAACTCAAGCTCATAAGGATATGTATAACACAATAATTTATAATTGTTTTATTATTTATGATAATTTTGAATTTAAATATATTTTCGTGTAATGTTTGATACTTCCAGCTGATGAAGGTGAATACATCGAAACAGGGTCCTGTCCTGGTTTCTGATCCACAACTGATTTCTGACTTCTCCTCAATGATTGAAACTAAGACCTTCACGTCGAATCTGACTACGGACTAACATGAACTTATCTCTACTCATAAACTCTTACCTCTAATTCTGTAACGAATTATTGTGTTATACATATCCTTATGAGCTTGAGTTTGTAATCTCCATTTGAGTTTGTAATCCTTGTCAGAATGCATAGTTTTGAATGGATTAGTTTTTGTTACAATTGACTATTGATTTGCGAGTAGGGACCACTCCCACTACTGAAATTTCTATTGGCCAGAGTTCTTGGTGTGCTTTTTTCTTGGTATATTTAATAACAAGAACTCCAACTTATTTATCAGGAGCTGGCAGCAGCTCACTCTGAGCGCCTGCCCCGTTGAACGGAAGAGCAAAATTGCCGCGTTGTTTTGCCACCATGCGGCATATCCCGACTCAGCCTTCCCCATCCTGGCGCCCCTCAGATGTTGCAGTTCCCATGATCCACAGGCCGGCATAGCCAAAGGCACTAAGGGTGATGGGAGTTATTGTTGTTTAGTCGTTTAGTCGTGTCCGACTCTTCGTGACCCCCTGGACCAGAGCACGCCAGGCCCTCCTGTCTTCCACTGCCTCCCGCAGTTTGGTCAGACTCATGTTTGTGGCTTCAAGAACACTGTCCCACCATCTCGTCCTCTGTCGTCCCCTTCTCCTTGTGCCCTCCATCTCTCCCAACATCAGGGTCTTTTCCAGGGAGTCTTCTCTTCTCATGAGGCGGCCAAAGTCTTGGAGTCTCAGCTTCAGGATCTGTCCTTCCAGTGAGCACTCAGGGCTGATTTCCTTCAGAATAGATCGGTTTGATCTTCTTGCAGTCCATGGGACTCTCAAGAGTCTCCTCCAGCACCGTAATTCAAAAGCATCCATTCTTCGGCGATCAGCCTTCTTTATGGTCCAGCTCTTACTTCCATACATGACTACTGGGAAAAACATACCTTTGACTATACGGACCTTTGTTGGCAAGGTGATGTCTCTGCTTTTTAAGATGCTGTCTAGGTTTGCCATCGCCTTTCTCCCAAGGAGCAGGCGTCTTTTAATTTCGTGACTGCTGTCACCATCACCAGTTCGTCACCATTTCGTGACTGCTATAACCATGGGAGTTATAGTACAACATATATGGAGGGCGCCAGGATGGGAAAGACTGTGTACCCTAAACTCACAATGGCCAACCAGATGCCCCAACATAGCTGTCAACGTTTCCCTTTTTTAAAAGGGAAATTCCCTTATTCCGAATAGGATTCCTCGCAAGAAAAGGGAAAAGTTGACAGCTATGTGACCCAACGGGAAACCAGCAAGCAGGATTCGAACACAAGAGCCCTCTGCCTTCCTGCGGTTTCCAGCAACTGGGATTCAGAAGGATATCCGCCCCCAAGTGCGGACGGAGACCACAGCCGTCATGCCTAGTAGCCACTGATACCCCTCTGCTCCACGAATTTGCCTAATCCTCTTTTAAATTCATCCAAGTTGGCGGCCATCCCCGCCTCCTGTGGCGGGGAGTTCCACAGTTTAACGATGTGCTGTGTGAAGAAGGACTTCCTTTTCGTCTGCCCGCCGGCTTCCTCCAGCGCACAAAATTAAATAAACCCCAACCCTGCCTTCAGTGCCATGCAATGACCAGCCCCTCCGCACCGAGCTCGTGGGGCAGTTCGTGGCACAAGACGGCCAGCGAGGTGGCCAGACCCGTCTTCCAAGAAGAGGAGAAGGCGGCGCCAACGGCCAGTCCGTCGGCAAAGTTGTGGATGGCGTCTCCAATGGTGATCATGTACGGCAACATCCTCAGCTCTGCGGAAGGAGCAAATGGGAGACATCAGAACCTCATAATAATGATAATAATAATAATAATAATAATAATAATAATAATAATAATTTATTATTTGTACAGTGGTACCTCGGGTTAAGTACTTAATTCGTTCTGGAGGTCCGTACTTAACCTGAAACCGTTCTTAACCTGAAGCACCACTTTAGCTAATGGGGCCTGCTGCTGCCGCCGCACCACCGCAGCACGATTTCTGTTCTCATCCTGAAGCAAAGTTCTTAACCTGAAGCACTATTTCTGGGTTAGCGGAGTCTGTAACCTGAAGCGTATGTAACCTGAAGTGTACGTAACCCGAGGTACCACTGTATCTGGCTGGGCCACCCCAGCCACTCTGGGCGGCTTCCAACAAAGATTAAAAATACATTAAAATGTCACACATTAAAAACTTCCCTGAACAGGGCTGCCTTCAGATGTCGTCTAAATGTCAGGTAGTTGTTTATTTCCTTGACATCTGCTGGGAAGGCGTTCCACAGGGCGGGCGCCACCACCAAGAAGGCCCTCTGCCTGGTTCCCTGTAGCTTTGCTCCTCGCAGAGAGGGAACCGCCAGAAGGCCCTCGGCGCTGGACCTCAGTGTCTGGGCAGAACGATGGGGTGGAGACGCTCCTTCAGGTATACTGGGACATAGAAGAGCTTCTTGGATCAGGCCAGTGGACCCATCTAAGTCCAGCATCCTGTCCTCCCAGTGGCCAAAGGGACCTACGAATCTAGATAAGACTGCCTCTGCACCTGGAGGTTCTACAAGAACGTAAGAGCCTTGTTGCCAGCTCAGGTCAATGGCTCACCTAGTCCAGAAACCTGACCCCATAGCAGGACCTGAGAACAACAGTACAGTGGTACCTCGGGTTACATATGCTTCAGGTTACATACGCTTCAGGTTACACACTCCGCTAACCCAGAAATAGTGCTTCAGGTTAAGAACTTTGCTTCAGGATGAGAACAGAAATTGGGCTCCGGCAGCACGGCAGCAGCAGGAGGCCCCATTAGCTAAAGTGGTGCTTCAGGTTAAGAACAGTTTCAGGTTAAGAACGGACCTCCGGTACGAATTAAGTTCTTAACCCGAGGTACCACTGTATTTTCCAATGGGTGTTCTCTGTTATCTGGCACTCAGAGATAGACTGCCCCTGGACATGGAGGTTTTGCTATGACAACAGACCTCCATAACAGACCTGTTATGACAGTGGCCATACAGATGCCCCATCTGGGGAACGTGCAAGCAGGATTCATGCACAAGAGCCTTCCTGTGGTTTCCAGCAACTGGGATTCAGAAGTGTTACTCTGACAAACGGAAGCACTATGCTCCATCAAAAGCATTATGCTCCACGCATTTGCCTAATTCAGCCAGCTAGCCCTGGGGAATCATCTAATGCTTATTTCCCTTAAATTGATTTCTGAACTTTGAATTTCATTGTTATTCATGTTTTTATACTGTATTTTATGCTGCTTTTACAATTAAGTGTTTTAAATTTGTTGTTAGCCGCCCTGAGCCCGGTTTTTGAAACGGGAAGGGCGGGGTATAAATAAAAAAAATATTATTATAATAATTCCCTTCTGGAGCCGTCCACGTCGGTGGCCCTCCCTGCCTCCTGCGGGTTCCATAGCTCAGCTACGCGGAAATAAAGGCTTCCTTTCATGTGTCCTCACCCCTTCCAGGACGCACAAAGAGCAGTGTGTGCGAAACACAAGCCCTGAAACCCTTTGCATTTTTCCTTCCCAGCTGGCAGCCTTCAGGCCCTGCGCCCTGCTGGAGGCGACATGTGCCAGAGGCGGCCTCTGGGAAGCAGGCACTGCAATTCTACTTGAGCTGTCAATGACCCTTCCCAAGCCGCCCTCCCTTCATGCTGGGGGATTCAGTCCGTAACACAATGCGCCGTTTGTTCTGAAAACGAGAGGGAACTGTGGCAGGAGTGGCCCAGTGGCCTAATGGATAAGGCATCAGCCTCCGGAGCTGGGGATTGTGGGTTCAAGTCCCACCTGGGTCGGCCAGCTTCTTTTGTTTTAAGAGAATTCTTTTTTCACCTCCGAAAGGAGGGAATTTGCGGACAGGAAACCTCGGATATCGGAAATTAGGAGGAGGGTTAAATCAAGGTGGGAAGCTGGGCAGGTTTTGAGCGCCAATTCAGACAGCTTCTTGGCTCGAGGTTGAACCAAAGGTGTGTCTGGGAAGCGGGGTCCCAGGTTTGGACATACGATTTGGGCCCCATCAGAAAGTGGCTGACAAATCTATGTATTGTTTTTAACACTCGATTGGGAGCCGCCCAAAGAGGCTGGGGAAACTCAGCCAGATGGGCGGGGTATAATAATAATAATAATAATAATAATAATATATCTAGGACAGCCTTCCTCAGCCTGGTATCCTCCAGATGTTTTGGACGGCATCACCAGCTGACAGGAGTTGTAGTCCAAAACATCTGGAAGGCACCAGGTTGGGGGAGACTGATTTAGGACGCAACGGAGATTTGCTTGCGTTGCAGAGTGGTGGCGTTTCCAGCCCTCGAGACCAGCTTCATCAAAAATGCAGGATACAAACCCCAAGAGATCTCACTGAGGGAAAACTCATATAAACCCTACAGACTCTGTGGGGTATCCTTTTAGGGTTTACGTTGGGGGTCAGGATGTTCGTTTTGCTGCTCTTGGTATCAGTTCCCTGTGCCTTGATTTTTAGATCTTCTTATGACATGCGGGGATTGTTTGATTTCGTCGTGCCCACTCTGACACATCGCTTAGGACTGCTTTGGTTACAGTTTTGTATTTGCGCAAATATTTCTGAGTCTGTAAGCTGCCTTGGGTGTGGTTTTAACTATGGAAAGGCAACATACAAGTGAACGATTGTGAAAATAACAGGAAGATTTAAAGGAACTATTAGAAATGACTATCAAAAGCAGAAGAGATATGAGATGATCAGAGCCTCATCCGAACTTGAAGCATGGAAAGTCCCAACAACAACAAAATTATAATTTGTCAGAATATTTGGACTATTTGATATGTATATGTATAATTTGGAATATTTAATGTGATTTGATTGGATTGTTAAAATGGAAAACTTAATAAAAGCGATTTAAAAAAACAAACAAGTGAACGATTTTGATCATGGTTTTGCTCTGAGCTGGTCTTTAGTTTCATTATTACCACGGTTTCCTGTTTTTATAATTGTATTTCTGGTTGTTATAACCTACCCTGGTGTATGGAAATGTTAGAAATCACAATTGTTTAATCAAAGCAGCTTCTTGATGTTATGTTGTGAGCCGTCCTGAGATTTACAGGTAAAGGGCGCTATACAAATTTAATAAATAAGAATAAGAATAAATGCTGGACATGTCAAGGAGAATCGCATCTGGTTGCTGGACAAGACATTGCTGGTGCTCACCTCGACTGGGGGTCTCTTTCTTCCGCATCTGGCTGAAATCTGCCTCCTCAGCAGTCACCTATTAAGAAAGAACAGGCAGGTAGAAAAAGGGAATGGGAGACAGGTGCAGCCTGCGTCCCAATTTGGGGCCACGCGAAAAAGGCCCTGCTTTTCTGAGGCTCAATCCCTGCCTCCTGTTCATTTTCTGAGCCCTCCATTTTATTAGTACAGTGGTACCTCTGGTTGCGAATGGGATCTGTTCCGGAGCCCCGTTCGCAACCTGAGCAGAACGCAACCCGTGTCTACGCATGTGCGGGTCACGATTCGCCGCTTCTGCGCATGCGGTCATTTTGAGCGTCTGCACATGCGCGAGCGGTGAAACCCGGAAGTAACCCTTTCAGGTACTTTCAGGTTGCTGCGGGACACAACCTGAAAAGGCTCAATCTGAACCAAACGCAACACGAGGTACGACTGTAGTAGCGTTAATTAAATTTAAAGAGTCACCTACATACGAAAGCGCTGGGCAATTCATAGAATCGTAGAACTGCAAAGCTGGAAGGGACCCCAAGGGCCATTGAGTCCAGCCCCCTGCAATGCAGGAATCTCAGCTAAATATTCTCTGATAGATGGCCATCCAACCTCTGCTTAAACACCTGCAATGAATCATAGAATTGGATCCCAATGGTCATCTAGTCCAACCCCTTGCAGTGCAGGAACCAAAGCGTGATCTAGACAATCTTGCTCCCCCTCGGAACTCAGCAAGGAGTTTGGGGATGAAGCTCAGAACCGATGGGCGCCCCCTGCTGTTGGGCTCCCTGCTGCCTGCCCTACCAATGGCTGCCAGTCACCAGATAAGAGGCATTTCTGCACAGCCAGGTTTCAAAATAATAAGCAGAATATTGTGTATCTCCAGCCTTCAGAGCAGAGCGTTTTGTATCTATGGGCAGTGCAGGTTTTCCTCAGACAGGACGCCTATGGCTCCATTGAGGATGCTTCCCTCAAAACAGAAGAGGCTTGTGGTATAATGGTTAGAGTGTTGGACTAATAATAATAAATAATAATAAATTTTTTATTTATACCCCGCCCTTCCTGGTTCAGGAAACCAGGCTCAGGGCGGCTAACAACAAATTTAAAACACTTAATTGATGCTACAAAAAACCCAGCATAAAATACGGTATTAAGTGCAAATAACAATAAAATTAAGAATCAAAATCAATTTAGGGAGAAAATCCATCCAATAAACATTAGGGCTAAGACCTGGGAGACCAGGGTTCAAAGCCCCACTCAGCCAGTTGCTGTCCCTCATCCCAACTTACCTCACAGAGTTGTTGTGAGGGGAAAAATGGGGAGGGGAGAAAACATGTACAACATTTTGAGCTCCTTGGGTGGACAGGTGGAATATGAATGTGAGAAATTCTGCATCAGAGGGGGCTGGACTAGCTTTGCCTTGGGATCCCTTCTGTGATAATAAATTTAAATTAAATTAAAAGGTGAGTAACACAGTTCCTTTGTTGGCCTTTGTTGGCAACAAAGGTCCGTATAGTTCAAGCCATGGTTTTCCCAGTAGTGATGTATGGAAGTGAGAGCTGGACCATAAAGAAGGCTGATCGCCGAAGAATGGATGCTTTTGAATTGTGGTGCTGGAGGAGAGTCCCATGGACTGCAAGAAGATCTAATCTCTTCATTCTGAAGGAAATCAGCCCTGAGTGCTCACTGGAAGGACAGATCCTGAAGCTGAGGCTCCAAGACTTTGGCCACCTCATGAGAAGACTCCCTGGAAAAGATCCTGATGTTGGGATGAGATGGTGGGACAGTGTCCTCGAAGCTACGAACATGAGTCTGACCAAACTGCGGGAGGCAGTGGAAGACAGGAGGGCCTGGCGTACTCTGGTCCAGGGGGTCACGAAGAGGCGGACACGACTAAACGACTAAACAACAATACAGTTCCATGTCCTCAACTCCCCAAATAAATCATAACGTTTTGAAAAGGTTGGTGTGGTTTCCCCCCGGGTTTTTTTAAAACATACATTAAAGAAGCAAACTTTTGGGGGGGCCAGACTTCTCTCCTGTTTTGGAAACAGAACAACAGAGCATTCAAGTTGATTTTAGAGGCCAAAGAGTTGTGAAGTGACCACTACCCATTTTTGCTTTAGACTTTGGGTCACTGTTGCTTGTTTTTTCAATCAATCTTTATCACAGTCCAGAGACCCAACAAATCGTTACAAAGCAATGCACAATTCAGACAGCCTACCTCCAGGTTAAACAAGCATTTTGTTCAGATTTAAAGATAGGGATCATTGGTTCTTGCAACCACCGATAAAAACTTCGCCACTGCTAATGTTCTAGCGTTTGTCTGGACTTCCAATAGGAACCTGACATAGTGAGCCTCTGATTTTCCCGGGAAAGGTAATATCAGTTCAGCCCTGGCTTGCTCGTATTTCGCACAGTGCAGCAAAATATGTTTTATAAAATCAATGTCTTGAGCATCGATGTTTTTTATACTTCATTTCAATTACAAATCTTCGAGGGGTGTGTTTGCATGCCCCACTGACTCAGACTGCTGATTCCTCCCACTTTAAAAAAAAATATGAATGTGGGAATTAAGCAGCAGGAGCTTAACCCAACAGGGAGGCAGCGTGGAGCAGTGGAATAGGCTCCTGCCTTGCATGCTGAACGTCCCTGGTTCAATCCCTGACCTCTCCAGTTAAGAAGGATCTCAGGTGGCGGGCGATAGGGAAAATACCCTTCCCTGCCAGAAAACCTGGGAGAGCTGCTGCCAGTCCGAGAAGACAATAATGGGCTCGATGCATCAATAGTCTGGCGCAGTGCGAGGCATTTTTCACATAGCGACATTTTTCTTCCCGCACATCTTTATTCCACCTTCCACCATTAGGTGGGGCTGGTGAATCATGCTTGGGTTCTGGATAAAGGCATGGCACAGAATTGGGCGAAAGAAGAAGGCAGAAATTTATTTTTTGCTTTTTGCCGGAGATCACTCACAGCTCTTGGAATGCCGGGCTACAGGTGGAAGCAGCTCTCTGCCCATCTCTGGGTATCTCAGAGTTCACTGGCTCATCAAGACTTAACGTGAGTCAACAGTGTGATGCAGCAGCAAAAAAGGAAAAGGGTGGTGTGATAGGAATTTTGAGGTCTTAGATATATGTTCAATGTTCATAAGTGTACTGACCAAGCACGTACATAGATCAGCACAGGAAGACCGACCTGGAAAATTTTTTGATTCCCAAACTGTCCCAAACTGACCAAATGTTTTCTCTGAAAAGTCAAAGGAAAACGGAAAAGCATCCCCATTGTCTTTTCCTTCACAAATCCTGTCTTAAGGGTATGCCTGTGTTTGAACAGGGTGAGCCTGTGACCTGGCTCAGGAACTAAGTATTTATCATTACAAAGGACTGGCCAGGCTCCCCAGGGTATCCAATCAAGTAAGCATTAATAGGTAACCTGCCAGACAGAAGATAAACAACACACTCAGATTTCTGCTGTAGACTGCCCTTCCGTGATGTAGGTATGATGTCTCTGCGGGTGGTGGTCTTGAGCTACACCCCTTTTTGGGGATGAAAACGTCAAATCTTCACCAAGGCCAGCTATCCAGACTGGTCCTACGTGGGCCAGAAAAAAGCCAGGGAAGTCCCCAAATAGGAGTTCCATCACAGAAGGAGAAAGGAAAAAGGAAAGAGGAAAGAGGAAAGAGGGGAAGGGGATCAAGTTGATTCCAAGCCAAAGGCCAGGTAGAACAACTCTGTCTTACAGGCTCTGCGGAAAGAAATCAGATCCCACAGAGCCCTGGTCTCATGAGACAGAGCGTTCCACCAGGTTGGGGCCAGTGTTGAAAAGGCCCTGGCTCTGGTTGAGGCTAATCTGACTTCCTTAGGGCCCGGGACCTCTAGGGTGTTGCCATTTAGGGACCTCTAGAGGCTAGGACTCCAACCAGCGGCTTCAAGTTGCAGGACAGGAGATGCCAACTTCATCAGGAAGAACTTTCTGATGGGAAGAGCTGTTTGACAGGGGAACAGACTCTTTTGGAAGTTGGGCTCTCCTTCCTTGGAAGTTTCTAAGAAGAGGTTTGGTGACCATTGGTCAGGGATGCTTTAGCTGAGATTAAGGTTTCGCAGGGGGTTGAACTAGAGGACCCTAAGGGTCCCTTCTAACTCTTAAGTTTCTAAGTATCCATGAGGACTTGTCTCCTGGGCTAAAGGAACAGCCTTCATCTATACAACAGTGCAGTGTCGGGCAAGCTGGCACCTTCCAGATGTTTTGCACAACCTCTCCCATCAGCCCCTGCCCAAACATCTGGAGGGCATCAACTTGGCCAAAGCTGCCATGCTGACTCTTACTTTTGCTTGGAATATACTCGGAGTCAAGTGTGGATTTCATGCTCTTTATTCAGCTCAGAATAGTGAGGGATGGAAGTTCCCCCAAAATGTCTGCTTTATATACATTATTTACACAATGGGCCCCACGTGATTCTGGGATTCTCCTGTAGGCCAACCAGGTTGCGGATTCACTTCCACCTGGAAATGGATTGGGTGGCTCCTGGGGACCAACCAGACTGCTGCATACTGGATCCTATTGTTCTAGGACCAATCAGACTGCTGCATTCTGAATCCTATTGTTCTAGGACCAATCAGACTGCTGCATTCTGGATCCTATTGTTCTAGGACCAATCAGACTGCTGCATTCTGGATCCTATTGTTCTAGGACCAATCAGACTGCTGCATTCTGGATCCTATTGTTCTAGGACCAATCAGACTGCTGCATTCTGGATCCTACTGTTCTAGGACCAATCAGACTCCTGCATTTTGGATCCTATTCAACTCAGTACATAACAGCTGCCATGCCAACTCTTATTTTGCTTGGGGTTCTTTTCCAGGACCTTGAGTAATCTTTGCTTAGCCTCTGACTCATCCCAGAAATGCATAAAACAACCCAGAGAGACTGAGGGCATCTCAGCAGCCAGGATGCCAGTCCCAGGTGGAGGCACGCAGGGCAGGCCACTCACCAGGTCAGCATGAGAAGCACCTTTCTCCTGCTTCCTCCTCTTCATCTCGTCTTGGTAGAGCTGCAGGGACATGCCGTGGTCGCACTGGTGCCCTGTGCTGTGCTCCTGGAGGCGAGAGATACAAGGGAACCTAGCATCCAATTGGACCCGTGCAGTTGCTAGGCAACCCAGCAAGAGTTCAATCCCTGCTAATTTACAATTTGGCAGAATATTTCGATTATTTGATATGTATATGTATAATCTGGAATATTTAATGTGATTTGATTGGATTGTCAAAATGGAAAATAAAAATGATTTTTTTAAAAAAGGAGTTCAATCCCTGCTCATCAGCCGATGAGCAGGAGGTTAAATCCTGCTTTCTGCAGGGATCAAGTAGGCACTCCAGTTCCCCACAGGATTGAACCCCTATCATCAGCTAACATCACCCGACCATTAGGGTGATGACAGCTGACGGAGAGGTGAGAAATTATTGCTGGCCACATTGGGTCAATATTGCAGTGGCGGACCCTGGGCTCTCAAATTTCAGCAGCACCCTGTGCGACGCTAAAATCCCTCCCCCCAACCTCTTGCACTCTGTTCTACAGCAATGTTCTGGTGCCCCCTGCAGCAAGGCGCACAGTGCGGCCGCACCAGTTGCGCTACCCCAAAAATGCCTCTACAGATGGGCCTGCAAGCCAGAGACTCCACACTTCTGCGTCAGGTTACGGAGAAAGGATGTGTTACAAGCTACTTTCGGCCCTGGATTCAGGGGTCAGCAAACTTTTTCAGCAGGAAAAGAGCTAGCACTGTCCCTCAGACCTTGGGGGGGGGGGACTATATTTTGGAAAAAAAATATGAACGAATTCCTATGCCCCACCAATAACCCAGAGGTGCATTTTAAATAAAAGCACACATTCTACTCATGTAAAAAGATACTGATTCCTGGCCCATCCGTTGACCAGATTGAGATGGCGAATGGGCCGCATCCGGCCCCCAGGCCTTGGTTTGCCTACCCATGATTAAGGGCACTGTGGGCGGTGCTGAGCAGAAGGGGTGCCAAACTGAGAAGATCCATAATTGAGACAATCCATTTGTGGGCGCCAGATTTTGGCCTCGCTCAGGGTGCCATATTCCCTGTGATTGCCAAAATGTGCCCCTGCCCCTTTCCGTTCCTCCTCCCCACCGCTGCCAGCAGCTAGCAACCGATAAACGACCAACGCACCTCGTCGTCGTCCGAGTGCCCCAGGAGGATGAAGAACTTTTCGAGGAGGAAGAAGAGGTAGAGGCCTCCCAGCACGGCCAGTAGCTTCCACAGGACGTTGTGGCCCTCGGCTCCATGGGGGTCGTGGGAGTGGCCCTCGCCATGGGAGTGAGAATGGAGACCCAGGAACTGCAGGCAGGAGAGCAGAGGCACAGCTTGATTTGGGGCGCAGGACAGAAGCTTCTGAAAACCACACATCCCTGCCTTCGAAACATGCCGGACTACAACTCCCATCCACACCAGCACCCACTGTGGCCATGCGATGCTGTCAGGAGAGCTGCCATGCTGGCTGATGGGAGTTGTAGTATAGCACCAGGTGGAGGGCACCAGATTGGGAAAGGTAGAATTGCGAAAGGAGGGAATTTTTTAATCACACGTGGTGGACTTGTAGTAAGGTAAAAGCTCACTGGCAAATGATATATAGTGAGTCAAAGTAAATGTTTAAAAGTACATTTGTGGAAAAACCAGAGGCATTTCTGTTAGGTATAGTAGGGAATGAGATCCTGAAGACACATACAAAACTGTTTATCTATGCGACAACAGCAGATAGAACTCTTTTAGCCCCAAAATGGAACCAATGGGAAATTCCATCGTTAGATGAGTGGCAGACGAAGATGATGGACTATGCAGAATCTGCGAGGCTGACCAGGAAAATCGGAAACCAGCGTGATCAAACTTTCCAAAAAGACGAGTAAATTTTTCAATATCTGAAGAACAATTGTAAACAATTAACAACGCTAGCAGGGTTGCCGTAAGAAAACTTGCCATGTTAAGGATTTGTACCTTTTTATGTTTATTTAAAAAATTGTGATTAACGGAAGGAGTGAAAAGTACCATATTTTTCACTCCATAAAACGCACCTCACCATAAGACGCACCTGGTTTTTAGAGGAGGAAAGGGGGAAAGCCCCATTTTGGGGGGTGGTGTCAGCTACAGTTGTGCAGCTTCTTTTGCAAAGGGGAAAAGCCCCGTTTTTTGAGGATCAGCTCAAAGTTGTGCAGCTTCTTTTGCAAAGGGAAAAAATCCTGTTTTTATGGGGTTCAACTCACAGTTCTGCAGCTTTTATAGGAAAGGAAAGGGAGCCGTTTCTACAATTTCTGGACAGATAATCTAATCAGCCAGTCCCATGTCGCTGGGGAAACAAACGGCCTCCGTCTGCAGAACATTCAAAAATGAAGGCCTGGGCAAGGGGCCGGAAAGGGAGCCAGCGATTGACCACACATTTGCTCCATAAGACGCACAGACATTTCCCCATACTTTTTAGGAGGAAAAAAGTGCGTCTTATGGAGCAAAAAATACGGTAGATGGGATAATGTACAAATGCTATGAGGTAATAATGAATTATGGAAACCATGAGACCGGAGGGATGGAAGTTGAAGCTCAATTGAGCAGATACGTAATGAGTATAAAGGTAATAAAATCGAAACTTAATAAATATTTTTTTTTAAGGGAAAGGTTGTATCGTGTGCAACCGCGCACACCAGCAAATGGATGCTCTTGCAAGCACACCTTGAGACACACCCACCCAGAGAGCACAGCCTCAGCATAAACCAGAAACAGCCCCACCCGCCGTGTGAACTGACCGTGGGGATGAGGTGCAGCATGGCATCTCCAGTGAGGGATCCCACTGCCAGGCTGACGAAGAGCTGGATCACGTACTGGTAGGCGCTGATGCAGGTGGTGCAGAGGAGGACGACGATGCCAAACAGGGCACACAGGCAGATCAGCAGGGTCGCCAGCGAGCCGTAGATGTATTCTGGAAGAGGGGCAATGAGGAGTTGCGGGGAAAGAATTAAACATTTCAGAAGATGACATCGTATGTTTCCAGGCACAATTCAAAGTGTTGGTGCTGACCTTTAAAGCCCTAAACAGCCTCAAAGGTCCAGTATACCTGAAGGAGCGTCTCCACCCCCATCGTCCAGCCCGGACACTGAGGTCCAGCTCCAAGGGCCTTCTGGCGGTTCCCTCCCTGCGAGATGCGAGGTTACAGGGAACCAGGCAGAGGGCCTTCTCAGTGGTGGCACCCGCCCTGTGGAATGCCCTCCCACCAGATATCAAAGAGAACAACTACCAGACTTTTAGAAGACATCTGAAGGCAGCCCTGTTTAGGGAAGCTTTTAATATTTGATGAATTATTGTATTTTAATATTTTGCTGGAAGCCGCCCAGAGTGGCTGGGGAAACCCAGCCAGATGGGTGGGGTATAAATAATAAATTATTATTATTATTATTATTATTTTAATATTATCATTGTCTTAAACTATATACCTAACATATGGGGTGTGACTATTGGTCAGCAGAAATGGATTCTCCGGTCCCTTACATCTGCAAGAAGATCGATATTAATATATTGGAAGGATAAAGATATTGCCCCCTTGGATGAATGGATAGATGGCAGGACATTTCTTGCAACCCATGAATAATAATAATAATAATAATAATAATAATAATAATTTATTTATATCCCGCCCTCCCCAGCCGAAGCCAGGCTCAGAGCGGCTAACAACATCGCTGTCAGAGGAAGATTATGCTATTATCAAAACCATTGTGAACCATGAACCAACATATACTTGAGGGAAACAATAAGCATATCTGCTTAAACACCTACTACATAGTTATGTAACTTTTTATTGCTATTTCATAGAATCATAGAGTTGGAAGAGACCACAAGGGCCATCGAGTCCAACCCCCTGCCAAGCAGGAAACACCATCAGAGCACTCCTGACATATGGTTGTCAAGCCTCTGCTTCAAGACCTCCAAAGAAGGAGACTCCACCACACTCCTTGGCAGCAAATTCCACTGTCAAACAGCTCTTACTGTCAGGAAGTTCTTCCTAATGTTTAGGTGGAATCTTCTTTCTTGTAGTTTGGATCCATTGCTCCGTGTCCGCTTCTCTGGAGCAGCAGAAAACAACCTTTCTCCCTCCTCTATGTGACATCCTTTTATATATTTGAACATGGCTATCATATCACCCCTTAACCTCCTCTTCTCCAGGCTAAACATGCCCAGCTCCCTTAGCCGTTCCTCATGACGCATCGTTTCCAGGCCTTTGACCATTTTGGTTGCCCTCCTCTGGACACGTTCCAGTTTGTCAGTGTCCTTCTTGAACTGTGGTGCCCAGAACTGGACACAGTACTCCAGGTGAGGTCTGACCAGAGCAGAATACAGTGGCACTATTACTTCCCTTGATCTAGATGCTATACTCCTATTGATGTTTTTGTGTTCTTTTGTGAATAAAAGTTCTTTTGTGAATAAAACGACCTGGGCCGGAGGGTGGACAGGAATTATTATTATACGCACTCCTCCCAGAGTCTTGCTGGCTCAAGCCTCTGTGTGTTATTAATCAGAGTCTAACCCTTCCTTTGCTTTGGGAATGCCTCAGTAAGCTACTGGGCGTTTTACGCAGAAGCAGCCTTAGGACCTCAAGCCCAGACCTTTAACTGGACAGGTTCCTACAGGACTCAGCAATTTGGTTTCTAACTGGCTTAAAAGACCAGTTCCTTTTTAAGGGTGCGTGGACTCACTCTGCGCAGTGGTGAGTCGCCCATCGGCAGGGGCGTTCCGGGAGGCAGAGCAGGCTTTACTCAGCTGTTGCTGCACCAGCGCTGGGCTCACGCGGCTGAAATCAGGGCTGGAGATTCCTGCGCTTTCGTCGATCCCGTAAATCTCAAACAGGTCACTGGGGCTGAGGCAGACCTGGAAACAAAGACATCCCCCCCAGATGAGTGAGCCACAAGGAGATCCCAAGGACACTAGGGTTGCCAGTTCTTCAAATGCCTCGTTCAGCCCGGACACTGAGGTCCAGCTCTGAGGGCCTTCTGGTGGTTCCCTCGCTGCGAGAAGCCAAGCTACAGGGAACCAGGCAGAGGGCCTTCTCGGTGGTGGCACCCTCCCTGTGGAACGCCCTCCCACCAGATGTCAAGGAGAAAAACAACTACCAAACTTTTAGAAGACATCTGAAGGCAGCCGTGTTTAGGGAAGCTTTTAATGTTTAATAGGTTGTTGTATTTTAGTGTTCTGTTGGAAGCCGCCCAGAGTGGCTGGGGAAACCCAGCCAGATGGGCAGGGTATTAATAATAATAATAATAATAATAATAATAATAAATGGCCCCTATCACCATGCCTTTCGCATCCATTTGATCTGTAGCCATTGGAACCAGGTGATTCCTGTTATGTGTTCCATGGTCTGTTTTCCTGAGCTTGAGTCTGGACTAAGGATTCTGAGCTCCTGATTCGATACGTGATATCTAATCACAGAACATTTCAGGATTTGGGCCTCTGCCATTGCCCCTTGAACTCTGAGTTGTGATTCGCAGCTTGGACGTTTAGACAGCCAATCACATTGGGAGTGGGAGTGGCCCAGGCTTTCAGGAATGTATATAAGCAGTTGCTTTGCCCCTGTTCCCCAGTTATGTACAATGGTACCTCGGGTTACAGACGCTTCAGGTTACAGACTCCACTAACCCAGAAATAGTACCTCGGGTTAAGAACTTTGCTTCAGGATGAGAACAGAAATCGGGCTCCGGCGGCGTGGCGGCAGCAGGAGGCCCCATTAGCTAAAGTGGTGCTTCAGGTTAAGAACAGTTTCAGGTTAAGAACAGACCTCTGGAACGAATTAAGTACTTAACCCGAGGTACCACTGTATCCCGTAAGGCCATGGAGGTTTGGTGTTATGTATTCAGTGGTCTGTGTTTGCCTGAGCTTGAGTCGACCAGGGATAAGCAAACTTTTTCAGCAGAGGGCCGGTCCACTGTCAGGTGGACCGGAGTTAAGAACTTTGCTTCAGGATGAGAACAGAAATCGTGTGGTGGCGGCAGCGGGAGGCACTATTAGCTAAAGTGGTACCTCAGGTTAAGAACAGTTTCAGGTTAAGAACGAACCTCCAGAACAAATTAAGTTCTTAACCAGAGGTACCACTGTAGTTCAATAAAGGTTCTTGCTGTTATCACTGTGTCTTGCCTCGTGGGACCCACCTACACTTCAATTCCAGAACCATAGAATTGGTTGGAAGGGACCCAAGGGGTCATCCAGTCCAGCCCCCTGCAATGCAGGAATTCTGTGAGGCTTGTCACGGCAAAGAGGTTCCCTTGCTGATTTCTACAGGTCAGCTGGCCTTGAATGGCATAGGAGCAGGCCAGACCAGCTTCTTTTTCCTAGTCAGATGGCAATCCTAAAGACAGACATACAAAAGCACACCGACCCCTCTCTGCTGCCTGACAAAAACCCAGCTAGAATCAGAGTCCTGTTCTCCGTTTCTTGTCTAAGCGCTGACGAAACACATGGAGTGGGAAAAGAACTTCATCATCTGCCTCTGGGCTCTGCCCTTCATGAGAAAATCACCTGTTCCCAACATCACCTGATGCACGGAGGGCAAGGCAACATCCCTCTCCCCCTCCACACCATGTGGAAATTAATTTGGTTTTTATTTAAAAGCCTTTGTGTGCCAGCTTTCATCACGTCAGACGTTCATCAGACTTTTAAGTCAAATTCTCCTTTCCCTTGTGGAACATGAAGACAAGGAGGGAGCCCAGGACCAGGGATGGGAAACTAACGAGCAACATGATCATGGTTGCTATCTAGCAGATCCATAGGTGCCAACTCCCTGGGTGCCCGAGCACCCACACAATTATCCATGAAGGGGCCAGGCACCCATAAATTTTGTTGCCAGGGCCATGCACGCTGTATGGCACCCATGGCTCTGGGCACCCGTGGTTGCAGGGCCAAGCTGGCACTCCTACCCTTGAACCACCAAGCGGTCTCTCTCTTTAGATGTTTGTGATGGGACAGAAAACGCTCCTCACCGTATCCCAGATGTTCGCGTCCTGCCCTCCTGTTCCAGGCAGACTCCGCCTCCGCCGGGCCATGTTCTTCTCCGTTCGGTTTCCAGGGTGTTCCATTTCATCGCCATGGTGGTGGTCAGTGTCATTGCCGTGGTGATGGTCCTCGTGATCACCATGCTCATGAAGGTGATGGTCCTCGTGACCCTCGTGGTCACCATGATCATGAGGGTGATCGTGCGTGGCGCCCTCGTGCGCGTGGTCGTGGTGGCTGCCAAGCGCGTGGTCGTCGTGAGGGTGCTCGTGCCCAGGTTCCCCGTGGTCGTGTCCTGCGTGGGACGCCTCAGGACCCACTTTGAGCTGCTCCATCAGCCTGGTCAAGCCTGTTGCAAACACAGAAGAGGCCCTGATCTCACCAGATGCCCTCAGGATCTCTGCCACGTGCATTTACCACCAACCCAACTCCTTGAGCTCTTTGCACACTCTCTATCAAAGACTTATGGAGCTGGTGGCAGCAGCAGCAGCAGCCAAGGACTTTCAGGTTCACAGCCTTCAGCTGTGATCCTAACCCCTGCTTACCTGGGAATAAGGCCCATTGAATTCAACAGGACTTATTTCTCGGTGGACATGGATTAGAGAGACTGCACTGTTAATGTCTCAATAGCACTCTCACAGAGTCCCCAGCTGAGCTTTTGACATTTTGTAGCTACGCCACACCCGGGTGTATTTCCAAAGATGGATTGTAACTCACTCTACGTGGGGCTGCCCTTGAGACTCACCCAGAAACTCCAGCGGGTGCAGAATGCTGCAGCGAGACTCCTTACGAGGTCCTCTCTGCGGGATCACATTCACCCGGTGCTATACCAGCTGCACTGGCTCCCGGTGAAGTACAGGATCAGGTTCAAGGTGCTGGTTTTGACGTATACAGCCCTATACAGTCTAGGACCCTCGTACCTACGGGACCGCCTCTCCTGGTATGTCCCACGGAGGACCTTACGGTCTTCAAATAAAAACATCTTGGAGGTCCAGGACCACAGAGAGGTTAGGCTGGCCTCAACCAGAGCCAGGGCTTTTTCGGTTGTGGCCCCAATCTGGTGGAACGCTCTGTCACAAGAGACCAGGGCCCTGTGGGACTTGACATCTTTCTGCAGGGCCTGCAAGACAGAGCTTGCACTTCATGCACCACAGAGCCTAGGACTTGCTGATCAGAAGGTCGGCGGTTTGAATCCCCGCGAAGGGTGAGCTCCCGTTACTCGGTCCCTGCTCCTGCCAACCTAGCAGTTCGAAAGCACGTCAAAGTGCAAGTAGATAAATAGGTACCACTCCGGCGGGAAGGTAAATGCCGTTTCCGTGCACTGCTCTGGTTCGCCAGAAGCGGCTTAGTCATGCTGTCCACATGACCCAGAAGCTGTACGCCGGCTCCCTCGGCCAATAAAGCGAGATGAGTGTCGCAACCCCAGAATCGGCCACGACTGGACCTAATGGTCAGGGGTCCCTTTACCTTTACCTAAATTTACTTCTAATGGTTTGTATAATAAACACTATCAAATTCAAAAAACAAACAAAAAAACCAGTGGGATGAAATTACCTGCCAAGGTGAGGTTGTGGGTCTTGTTGCTGTAGAGCCCAAAGATGTACTCCACAAAGTAGTGCTCTGGGGGGAGGGCACGGAAGCAGCCCCCTGCCAGGGCATGGTAGGCAACGGCTGCCAGCACCCGCCCAGCTGGCTCCAAGGCTACTTGCTTGGAGATCCGTGCACTGCTCTCCAGGATCTGGTCCACTCCTGCGCAGGGCTGGGAAGGAGAGGAGAGGAGAGCAGGTCAGGCAACAGGCTGACTCTCTGAGGCTGCTCAGCCGAGCAATTTATTTCACAGGATCCTAGAATTTTAGAGCTACAAGGGACCCCCAGGGGGCATCTAGTCCAACCCGCTGCAAGGCAGGAATCACAGCTACGTATTTGTGCTTTATTTTGTAAGCCACCCTGACAGCCATGGCTGCAGAATGTCTAGCGATGTACTTAATTTAATGGCGAGACAGAGGAATAACAGAGGGTGGCAGTGGAGGAGAGAAGGACGTGAAAAGGGAATGGAAGTGTGGGAATTTAGCGATGGGAGCAATAAGAAAAGCCTGTGTGTCTTGAGGCTTTTCTGTCTTAGCAATGAGGACTAGAAAGTTGGCCTTGTCGTATTTAACTAGCTTTTAACTGCTCCCACCTAGAGCTTTATCAAGTTCGGTCTTCCTCCTCTTCCTTGCCATCAAAGGCCAGATGATTAACAGTAGAGAAGATTAGAGTTGCCAGCTGTCCCCTCCTTAATTATAGTGTGACAGACAGATATCCAATAGGTAGAACTTTACCCCATCAGGAAAAGACAGGAAAAGCTTTTGCTGTCTAATTTCCATGCCACCGTGCAGCTCTCACAAGCACAGGAGGCAAGGAGGCAATGGCAGGGAAAGGGGAATGCTAGCATTTTAATTACGGTTTTCCTTTAACGGGCATCACCATTTATCAGGAAATTCGTCTTGGCAGCATCTCTCAAAAACATGGAGTTTGACCTGGCCAGGTGAGAGTTGTAATCCAAAACACCCAAAACTCACCAACGTGGGGAAAACTGGTCTGCACATTAAGCTACACGTGAATTATAAACTTATTAAAATCTTAGTGTATAGAGAAATGTTTTGCTCTGTATCACAACCCTAGAACGCATGGACATCCCGTGAAATGGAAATTTGCCAGATTCAGGGCAGACGAAAGGAAGGCCTTTGTCCCACGGCACCCAGTTAACCTGTGGAACTCCCTGCCACAGTAGGCAGGGATGTCCACCAATCTAGATGGCTTTGAAAGAGGGTCAGACAAATTCATGGAGGAGAAGGGCTATCGATGGCTCCTAGCCAGCATGGCTCTACGACGCCTCCACAGTTGAGAGGCAGCAATGCTTCTGAATCCCAGTCCCTGCTCTAGTGTTCGAATTCTGCTTGCTGGTTTCCCATTGGGTGATCTGGTTGGCCACTGTGAGAACAGAAGGCTGGGCTGGACGGGCTGTTGTTGGCCTAACACAGCAGGCTCCTCCTTATGTTCTTAATTGGGATGGGAGTAGATCCTGCCATCAGATCCTTTCCCAGGTGTTACCTCTCTTAGGGCCCTCGTATTTACGGGACCGCCTCTCCTGGTCTGCCCCACAGAGGACCTTAAGGTCCATGAATAACCATAGTTCAGAGGTCCCAGGCCCTAAGGAAGCCAGACTATCCTCCACCAGGGCCAGGGCCTTCTCAGTGATGGCTCCGACCTGGTGGAATGCTCTGTCCCAGGAGACCAGGGCCCTGCAGGATTTAACCTCCTTCCGTTGGGCCTGTAAGGCAGAGCTATTCCGTGTGGCCTTTAATTTGAATTCAGCCTGATCTTTTATTTCCCTTCCCTCCCCTTTTATGAAGATCACCCGCTCTGAGACCCCACAGGTAATTCTCCCCTGGCCTCCTCGCTGGCCCAAGTAGGACCAATTCAGCCAGCTAGCCCTGGGGATTATCTAATCTATTTTTATTTTTTGAATGCTATTGTTATTCATGTTTTTATACTGTATTTTATGCTGCTTTTATAATTGTTTTAAATTTGTTGTTAGCCGCCCTGAGCCCGGATTTTGAACCGGGAAGGGCGGGGAAGAAATAAATTTTGTTGTTGTTGTTGTTGTTGTTGTTGTTGTTACCTCACTTCTTTCATTCTCCTGGATGTTTCTCTGGACGGCCCCCATCAGCTCGGCCACCTTCTCTCGATCAGGCCCAGTGGGACGATTCCCCTCTAAGAATTCGCTCTGCAAAGTGCGGACCTTGGCCACCCAGTCTCCGTCCGCCACGGCTTGGCAAGCTGCCGTGGGGTCAGAGAGGTAGTAGACCAGGCCAGCGGAGAACGGCAACAGCTCCGAGGATGTGAGGTTGGCATCCCTGGGAGTTTTTCTCTTTGTGAGTGTAAAAATATCCGAAGCAGAGAGACACTGGAAGGGGGAAAGAGAGAGAGAGAGAGAGAGAGGGGAGGGGGACAATTTGTTATTTTTGCACAGATTTTTATGGTTTCCATTATTTGAATTTTTATTATTTCGGTCCCAGACCAGTTCCAGCCCACATACAATATCAAGGAAATCATAAAACACGATAGGGATACATTTGAATTTGCAATTAGGTGTAACAGGGATAATACAGACATAGCAACAGTTAAAAATATATAAATTAAAACTTAGTCTCTAACATATAACCTAAAATTATCATTTAAAACCTTAATTATTATGATAGCACAGCTTGTTCCCTAAGTTTTATGGCAATCGCACAGAATTTGGCTACCCTTAACGTGATCTCAGGAGCCTTGTCCTCTACCAGGGATTTTAGACATTGAAGTTCGGATTCATTTGGAGATTTGGTTTTCATTATTGTGTCTTTTTAAAATAAAACCCTACGGTGTTTGTTCGTTTTTCCTTCGCAAGCTGCCCAAATGATTCTGTTGATGGGTGGACACATTTAATAATAAATAAACGACATCTGACGCAGAGTGCTGTGTAACTCCGAAGCTTGCACACGCTGACATGAAAATAAAAGAACTTTCTGAAAGTAAAGCGGCCTCGAAGCTTTGTGGCTCCTCTGAAACTTCTGGAGGGCACCTGGTTGGGGAAGGCTGGATCAGGCCAAAGATCTATTGCACCTAGCGTTCTGTTTCCTGCAGCTATCAGCTGGATCAGGGCCTCCGAGATGCAGGGGACAGAACATTAATAAAAGTGAACTTCTCGGATGTTATCAGCACCAGATAAGAGGTGAATGACTCACGTGGGATTTGAACCCAGCTCTGACTAGGCCGCTCAGCCTGCAACTAGATGGGTCTGGATAGCTTTGGGCTGAGACAAACCATGGAGTCCTTGGCTTTTGCCCTGGTGCTGATAAAGGATTGCTGAGCTGTTTGCAAAGCCTGGATAGGTAGTTTAGGAAGTTGCCAGTTGTTTGAAGCTATTCTGTCAGGTCTGGTTGGGGCCAGATGGCATGAAACCCAGCCAGATGGGTGGGGTATAAATAAATAAATAAATAAATAATAATAATAATAATAATAATAGGCAGAGGCACCCCCTTTCCTCTTTTTAATTTAGGACAAGAAAAATCCAGACCCAGAAAACTCTGATCCCAAATGCCAGTGAAGGGTAGGTGGGTTCCCATGAGGCAAGGCACAGCGATAACAGCAAGAACTGTTAAGTTGGGGGCGAACATATCAGACGACACAGCGATTCTTCCAAAACAGCTCTTTATTTGTAAGCTGGAACAGAACTGAACTGAGGAGCTCAGTCAGCCTGCTTATATAGAGCTCCAGAACAATCGTAACTGTTGCAACTTTCTAAAACTATCCAATCACTGAATGTCACTTTCGATCCTTCATTTGCATAACTATCTACAGTATCCCCCTGCTGGCCCAGGGTGAGAACTTCAGTACATAACAAGAACCTTTACTGAACGACATAACTGGGAAACAGGGGCAAAGCAAATGCTTATATACATTCCTGAAAGCCTGGGCCACTCCCACTCCCAACGTGATTGGCTGGCTAAACTTCCAAGTTGCGAATCACGACTCAGAGTTCAAGGGCCAATGGCAGAGGCCCAAATCCTGAAACGTTCTGTGATTGGACATATCGGATCAGAACACAGGAGCTCAGAATCCTTAGTCCAGACCATGGGTAGGCAACCTAAGGCCCGGGGGCCGGATCCGGCCCAATTGCCTTCTAAATCCGGCCTGCGAATGGTCCAGGAATCAGAGGACAGTGGTACCACTGGTTGCAAACGGGATCCATTTTTTTCCTGATTGAATAAGTCAGGTGAGTGCAGGAATGCAGGAATTCTGTCACTCTTGACACGGCAAAGAGGTTGCCTTGCTAATTTCTACAGGTCAGCTGGCCGTGAATGGCGTAGGAGCAGGCCAGACCTGGTCAGATGGCAGTCCTAAGGCAGGCATCCCCAACCTTTGGCCTTCCAGATGTTTTGGCCTACAACTCCCATGATCCCTAGCTAACAGGACCAGTGGTCAGGGATGATGGGAATTGTAGTCCAAAACATCTGGAGGGCCAAAGGTTGGGGATGCCTGCCCTAGGGGGATCTTGTTGCTTTTGATTATTACCCATCGAGAATTTCTTCTTGAAAGAGGTGGAATGTAGCCATGTTCCAAATAAATTCGACTTCTGCAGTTTTTCCACCCCGCTGCAGTATCGCTGCGCCGGCCGAAACTGCTATAGCTCTATCGTTCCAGGAATGGAATGCCTTCCTCCCTAAGGCAAGCGTGCCTCAATGTGTGCCAAAGTGGGTGGCACCCCAGGGGAAGGTGTGCATGATCACACCTGGAGCCTGACATTCTCGCTTGTGTACTTCCGAGCGTGACGCTGGCAGAGAGTACAAAGAGTCATTCTCTCTGTGTCTCTCGCAACCTGGCACACGTTCAACTTACGTCTGGGTGCCTGCATGTCTCCTCGGCACTGTGAAATACGAGGCAGCAGGAAAAGAAATACCTCTTTGCACAGTGCAGGGTTGAACTGTGGAACTCTCTGCCACAGGAGGCAGTGACGGTTGACAACTCGGGAGGGCTTAAAAAGAGGGGTAGACAAATTCACGGGAGAGAGGAGCTATCTATGGCATTTTTGTTAGGGATTTTAGGACAAGAGCTGCCAAGGAAAACAAAGACTTTATTCATGTATGCCACAACAGCGACAAGAGTCTTGATAGCACAAGGATGGAGGAACGAAGAAACCCCGACAAAGGAGCAGTGGCAAGAGAAGTTGATGAACTGTGCAGAATTGGCTAAACTGACATACAAACTGCGAGATGAGGACAACTGTGACTTCAAGGAAGAATGGGAACTTTTTACAAAGTATTTAAAAAGACAACAAAGACTCCTTGGCAGGTTTTGAATAAACATACACAAATTTAGTGCTTGATAACATGGTAGATAGATAATACAAGGATGGAAATAGTTTTATAACATGCAGAGAGTGACATGGGTTGAGAAATCAGAGAGAGGAGTTGAGGAATGTCTCGGTGGGGTTTGATGGGGAATGGGGTAAAAGGGGGGGAAATAATGAATATGATATGTTTTGATATATTGTTATGTTGAAATTGTTATTTTTTTTAAAAAGATCCTACTTACTGGTGTCTCACAGGCATCTGCTTGGTTCTGCTGATGTTCACCAAGCAAACAGAAACACATAGTTCTTCAGTGAGTCTCCCCACAGCCTGCGCCCAGCAGAATAGGAATTAAAGGGGAATCTGCAAAAAAATATGGCTCTGCTGGGAGGGATGTCTAGAGGTTAGCATGGTCCATCCTAGCAGTATGTCTGCATCTGGAAATAAGATGCGGAGGTGACAGACAGGGGCGTAGGAAGGGGGGTGCAGTGGAGACGGTCCGCCTCAGGTGCCATCCCAGAGGGGGGGTGATACCCCCCCCCGGGCGGATCGCACCGCCGTGCCACTCCGGATGTAGGAGCAGCTAGCTGAGCCACTGGTGACAGAGGAGAAGGAGCCTGCAGGATCAGGCCAGCTGCCCATTTAGTCCATTTGATGAGGAGGGACAGGATAGAGACAGCGTGGCAGAGTGATTAGAGCGTAGGACTTAATGTGCTTCACAGGGTTGTTGTGAGGGTGACATGGCAAGGGGGAGGATCTTGTAACAACAACAACAATTTATTATTTGTACCCCGCCCATCTGGCTGGGTTTCCCCAGCCACTCTGGGTGGCTTCCAACAAAGATCAAAAATATATTAGAATGTCACACATTAAAAACTTCCCTAAACTGGGCTTCCTTCAAATGTCTTCTAAATGTCTGGTAGTTTTTCTCTTTGACATCTGGTGGGTGTTCCATAGGGTGCCACTACCAAGAAGGCCCTCTGCCTGGTTCCCTGTAGCTTTGCTTCTCGCAGGGAGGGAACCACCAGAAGCCCCTCGGCGCTGGACCTCAGTGTCCAGGCTGAATGATGGGGGTGGAGACGCTCCTTCAGGTATACTGGTAAACAAGGCCGTTTAGGGCTTTAAAGGTCAGCACCAACACTTTGAATTGTGCTCGGGAATGTACTTGGAGCCAATGTAGGTCTTTCAAGACTGGTGTTATGTGGTCTTGGCAGCCGCTTCCAGTCACCAGTCTAGCTGCCGCATTCTGGATTAGTTGCAGTTTCCGGGTCACCTTCAAAGGTAGCCCCATGTAGAGCGTATTGCAGTAGTCCAAGCGAGAAATAACTAGAGCATGCACCACTCTGGTGAGACAGTCCGCAGGCAGGGAGGGTCTCATCCTGTGTACCAGATGGAGCTGGTCGACAGCTGCCCTGGACACAGAGTTAACCTGCTCCTCCATGGACAGCTGCGAGTCCAGAATGACCCCCAGGCTGCGCACCTGGTCCTTCAGGGGCACAATTGCCCCATTCAGGACCAGGGAGTCCTCCACACCCTCCCGCTTCCTGTCCCCCAAGAAAAGTACTTCTGTCTTGTGCCCAAAGGTGGGGTTGTTGCTGGCACCTGTCTGTCTCAAGAGACAATGGAGTGTGCCTCCGGGGGCGTGACCTCCCTGGTATTTCATAGAATCATAGAATCATAGAGTTGGAAGAGACCACAAGGGCCATCGAGTCCAGCCCCCTGCCAAGCAGGAAACACCATCAGAGCACTCCAGACATATGGTTGTCAAGCCTCTGCTTAAAGACCTCCAAAGAAGGAGACTCCACCACACTCCTTGGCAGCAAATTCCACTGTCAAACAGCTCTTACTGTCAGGAAGTTCTTCCTAATGTTTAGGTGGAATCTTCTTTCTTGTAGTTTGGATCCATTGCTCCGTGTCCGCTTCTCTGGAGCAGCAGAAAACAACCTTTCTCCCTCCTCTATGTGACATCCTTTTATATATTTGAACATGGCTATCATATCACCCCTTAACCTCCTCTTCTCCAGGCTAAACATGCCCAGCTCTCTTAGCCGTTCCTCATAAGGCATCGTTTCCAGGCCTTTGACCATTTTGGTTGCCCTCCTCTGGACACGTTCCAGTTTGTCAGTGTCCTTCTTGAACTGTGGTGCCCAGAACTGGACACAGTACTCCAGGTGAGGTCTGACCAGAGCAGAATACAGTGGCACTATTACTTCCCTTGATCTAGATGCTATACTCCTATTGATGCAGCCCAGAATTGCATTGGCTTTTTTAGCTGCTGCGTCACACTGTTGGCTCATGTCAAGTTTGTGGTCAACCAAGACTCCTAGATCCTTTTCACATGTACTGCTCTCAAGCCAGGTGTCCCCCATCTTGTATTTGTGCCTCTCATTTTTTTTGCCCAAGTGCAATATTTTACATTTCTCCCTGTTAAAATTCATCTTGTTTGTTTTGGCCCAGTTTAAGCCTGAGCAGTGTGTCTGGAAGTCCTGGGCTGCCCAGATGACAAGACACGCCCCTCCCTAGCCTTGCTGACCCAAAGGAAAGCGGAACAAGACATTTGAGACCAGCTTGGCTGCAAGAGTTGCTGGAAGGAGACATCCAACCGCCTTAGGGACTCCCCTCTGGATTTGTGGAGGGTGCCTTCTTTGCAACAGAAGGTTGCTGGGCTCTGGCTCCAGCTGAGCCTCCTGGAGGGTAACTAAGACAACCCAACAGATGAGGCCCTTTCATCCTTCTTTTGCAAAGGAACAGATCAAAGGGGAAAGGAAGGGCCAGGGCATTTGAATGCTTTTGATGCGCAGGAGATGCAAAATAAATGCATTTAAAAAATGGGCACCACCCTAAACAGTTGCCTCCTCCTCCTTGATCCCGTTCCTAAACTAATCCTCATAATAAAGGCATTTTCACACAGCCTCTGGGGTTTACCTGAGGGCCCTACACGGGCTTTTGCATTTGCTTGTAACAGGTAAAGAATTTCTGGTGAATGGAGGCTTGGGGTGGGAACAGAAGTGGGAAGAAGACAGAGCTGGTCATTGAGGGCAGGATGCAAACAGAAGTTATGTGCAAGCCATAAGATCAAGTAAAACAATAGGAATACTTAACTGCCCAATCACATTGGTTCTGCCCCGCCAAAAAAATTCCTGTCCCCCAAAAGAATCCTGACAGAGGGGATACAATAGCCATCGGTAAATATCTGAAGGTCTGCCACATGAGAGATGGAGCAAGCTTGTTCTCTTTGGGAGCAGGATCTGAACCAACAGATTCAAATGGCAAAAAAATGAGATTGCAACAAAACATTAGGAAGAGCCTTCTGAAGGTAAGAGCTGTTCAATAGTAGAATGCTACGGAGTCCACCAGAAGGTTGTGGACCCACCTTCATTGAAGGTTGGATGGCCATCTATCGTGGATGCTTTAGTTGAGATCCCTGCATTGCAGCGGGTTGGGCTAGATGACCCCGCAGGGTCCCAACTCTACAATTCCATGATTCTATTATCTCCGCTTCCCTGTTTTCAAAGGCTGGCTCTGTGAAAATCTGGATCCTAGGGGTTCGGACTTGGCCATTCTGGGGTCAAGCAATGCAATGGTGGTTGGTTTCTTAAGAAGAAACAGTCTCGGGTCTCCTTTCTGCTTGGAAGCTGTCACTTTCAATGGGCTAATGCCGTTTACTTCAACTCATGGATAGGAACAATCTGTGGCCATTCAAGGAAATGGACTTTGTGCATGATCAGAGACATGCTTGACGAGGATAGTAGCTGGGCCCAAAGTCTAATTTACCGTAAGTTCCAGAGATATCTGGGAAGAGAACCTGAAGGAAATCCATGCTTTCCTAGTCCCTACTTTTCTCTAGGCTTAACCTTCCCAGAGGGACGCGGGTGATGCTGTGGGTTAAACCACAGAGCCTAGGACTTGCTATTCAGAAGGTCAGCGGTTCGAATCCCCACGATGGGGTGAGCTCCCGTTACTCGGTCCCTGCTCCTGCCAACCTAGCAGTTCAAGAGCACGCCAGTGCAAGTAGATAAATAGGTACCACTATGGCGGGAAGGTAAACGGCGTTTCTGTGCGCTGCTCTGTTTTGCCAGAAGCGGCTTAGTCATGCTGGCCACATGACCCGGAAGCTGGACGCCGGCTCCCTCGGCCAATAAAGCAAGATGAGCGCCGCAACCCCAGAGTTGACCACAACTGGACATAATGGTCAGGGGTCCTTTTACCTTTAGTGTGATGTAGTGGTTAAGAGCAGTAGATTCGTAATCTGGGGAACCGGGTTCGAGTCTCCGCTCCTCCACATGCAGCTACTGGGTGACCTTGGGCTAGTCACACTTCTTTGAAGTCTCTCAGCCCCACTCACCTCAGAGTGTTTGTTGTGGGGGAGGAAGGGAAAGGAGATTGTTAGCCGCTTTGAGACTCCGTAGGGTAGTGATAAAGCGGGATATCAAATCCAAACTCTTTACCTTTTTAACCTTCCCAGGGTCAGTTCCTCTGCAAGAATCTCTAAGAAGCTCAACAGCCTCTCAGATGTTTTGGACTTTTGCTTCCATCATGTTCTGGCTGTCGGTGATGAGAGTTGTAGCGCTAAACATCTGGAAGGTGCCAGGTTGGGCAGGGGGCAGGCTGGTTCATGCCAAAAAAAGGTGAAGCTCAACTTCTCCATTCTGCTGGCTGCGGTGGTGTCTGAGGTGAAACACAACCGCCAAGCCTTTTTTGCAGGTTGAACATGATGCAGCAAAGTGGCTCCAGCAGAAAAAGAAACAGAAGTCCTTTGCACTGACCACATCACAGGGTGAAAGCTTCAAAGACGGAAGGAGCTCGGGAGAGCCTGACTGCTGGATCAGATGAAAGCTCATCCATTGTGCTGGGCCTGCGGGTAGCCAGAGTAATGCGGTCCAGGTCTGGTCCCGAATCCAAGGGTTCTGCGAGGAGTCAGTCCGACAGGGCCAAGGCAGGAAACCAGGCAAGGTCAGGCACAGGATCACAGGCAGGTTCTAGCAAACAGCAATGTTGCTCCCGCAACCTGGGGCAGAGTCCGACAGCCTTTTATCTGTGTCGGGGCCAGTCCTGATCCCCCAGCGACTCACCTCCGTTTCGGCCGAAGGCAAGCACGCCTCCTGTGAATACTCAGGTCTCTCCTTCTCTCAGACCTCAGTCTCTGCAGCTTGGGAGACATCGGTGGGTTACTAGACCCAGGGGCCGCCTCAGCCTCCCCTGACCCAACCGGTAGTGGAGCAGCTGTAAGTGATGGCCCAGCTGGAGGCAACGAGGGAATCCCCGCATCTGGAGCCAGGGCAGGCTCAGCCCCTGACTCGGCCCAGGTGGGGTTTGCTGCAGGGGAACCTGTGCAGACTGGGGCTCTTCAGGATCAGGCCCCAGACTTGGTTCAGATGATGCCTGAGGCAAAGGATCCGGTGCAGACTGAGACTCCTCTGGCTCCAAGTCCGAGCCCGAGTCCCAGGCCATCACACTCACAGTGGCCAACCAGATGTCTGTGGGAAACCCAGAGTCAGGATTCGAACACAAGAGCCCTCTCTGTTCCTGCAGTTTCCAGCAACAGGCATTTGTAAGCATTGCTGCCACTAGCTGTGCAAGTAGAGCCTAGTAGTAGTCCTCAATAGCCCTCTCCTCCTCCAGTCTTCTTTTAAAGCCATTCAAGTTGGTGGCCATCACTGTGGCAGGGAGTTCCACAGTTTAACTCTGTGCCACATCAAGAAGGCCTTTCTTTTATCTGTCCTGATAAAAGGACCTGCACAGTCCTTTGACCCTGTGAAATCTCCAACTTCTGTAGACCATCTGTATATTGGCTATTAACTCTTTGCTGCCCACAGCCCTTGGGGAAGGGGCCCCCACTTTGCTTCAATCTGTGATGTAGCCTCTTCCCCTTCTTCAAACTCATGGCCATTAGCTTTGCGGCCGAACCTTGCCCCAGCGGAGGTTGCCAACCGTTATTCTGACAGGGCTCTTGTTCCTTGAGCTAATAGCTGCAGTACAGGCAGAAATGTAGCAGATGATGTTTGAACTCTGCGGGGAAATGCAGTGCAGAAAATGCTCTGCAGCACTTCAGCCTGACGTGAAACTCTTAAAGCCCACAGAAGCAGTGGAAGTGAAAACTTTGGCAACCGTAGCTGCAGCCGAGATCCTGTTAACCAAGAGATTATGACTGCAATCGTTACCCAATGCATTTTAGTATAAAAGAAGGTGTTTGATTAAGGCAGTGAGCTGTATCCTTCCTTGGAGGTTTTCCAGCAGAAGCAGGATGGCCATCTGTCATGGATTCTTTAACTGCAATTCCTGCATCGCAGCGGGGTTGGACTAGATGATCTCCAGAAGTCCCTTCCAGCTCTGCAACTCTGCAATTCCATGATGATGAGGATACTTTGGGCTAGATTCTTTGGTCCAGCCAGGAGACAGTTCCTGTTGCCCCGGCGAGCTCTTAACTTTTTCACATTTCGTTCTTTGCTTGGTGCTTTCCCCAGAGACACTGTGCAAAATGGGTGAGCACGAATAACAAAACATCTGGTTTTTTTAAATACCTTGTTTTTTGTCTAAACCTATGATCCGGTGCCAGGGCAGGAGAACTGGGATTCACCCAGGAAGGGTTGTGACTAAGGGGCAGGAGGCCTGAGGGTTCACCCCTGATGGCATCTTCCAACAGGGCTGGAAGAGTCCCCTGCCTGCAACTCTAGCAGACAACCAATTTCCGAATCTACTGGGAGGAATGGGGCCAGCCTATGGTCTGGAAGTCTGTTAATAACTGACTGGATTCCAGGTGAGGCTGGAGGACCATTGAGAATTCTTACAAATATTGCCTAGCAAACTGTTCCAGGAATGTGAGGCACGTCCTTCAGTTGACCAGCTGCTGAGGGGAGGTGTCTGGGCACGGGCAGCTGGGTGCTGTATCCTTTGCTGAAATATTCTCATCTGCCCCACTGTTTTCCTGCATTGCAGGGGGTTGGACTAGATGACCCTTGTGGTCCCTTCTAAGTCTAAAATTCTACGACCTCTTGATCTGAGTTCAGGAGTACCTGCTGCTCCTTCCGCTGATACTGTTTGCATTTTATTTATTCTCCTTTTTGGAAAAAACCCTTTCATTTATTTAAGAGCACGCCTGTGCTTGGGCTGTCAGCTGTTCTGTTAGACCAGCTTCCTCCAAAATCAGATTCTGGCCCCAATTCATCTGGACTGAGTACTACCCTGCGATTATGCTCTTATTAGAGAGCTCCATGGATTCATGCCCCCACCCTCACTTTACACATAACCTTACGAAAACAGACGTTGAAGATAACTACACCTTTACCCTCTTTTTAAGACATGTTCTATGGCTTTGCATTGCATGGAGCCGACAGTGAAGAGTTGAAGGGATTCCTTCTCCTTCCTCAGGGATGTAGGAGGGTAACGCCATACCTGCCAACAGTTTGCAGGCAAGAATGGGCCCCGCGTCAAACGACCTCATTGCAGGGGGTTGGACTAGATGGCCTCTGGTGGACCCCATCCAACTCTAGGATTCTATGCCCTTCCTGCCACACCAAGGATCATCGCCAGCCCTCATCCCCTACGTGCTCTGGGCAGATTCACATCATCCCCCCCCCAAAGTGCACCCAACACACATTTCAAGGGAATGGCTTCCCCTCAAGTACCCTGAGAACTGGGGTGTTGGGAACTGTAGCAGAAAACTATAGTTTCCAGGATTCTTGGAGGGGGAGGGCAAGTGTTGTGCGCTTTAATATATGGTGTGGATCTGCTGGCAGCCGTGTCTGTTCACATCAGCCTGTTTTCCACTGGTTTTAAAGCTGAAAGTTTTCTTTGGCTCTCTAGATCCATGATACAGCTGGGGGGAAAAACCTCCATTGTCCTGCAACCTGTTATTAAGTGGTTCAAAGTGAGTCTTGCCAGCAGGTGAAATAACATGCTAGGTGTTGCTGCGGCGCCTTAAATGTCCACGCACGGGCATTTTACATGTCTCGCCATTCCTGGCAAAATGCACGCCGCCCCCCCCCCGCACATAACACAGTTCAGAGGCAGAAGGTAAAGACAACTGGAGAAACTTGCACTGGGAAGTGTCCCAGTGCAGTGCAGGGGGTTAAAATGTGGGAGAGACCAGGGTTCGAATCCCCACTGAGCCAGGGAGCTCATTACGGTGGCCTTGGAGGCCAGTCGCTGCCTCTCAGCCTAAACTACCTCCAGTGCTGGATTTACATATAAGCTAAACAAGCTATAGCTTAGGGCCCCACTCTCTCGGGGGCCCCAAAAAAATTAAAGAAAAAAAACCTGGATGTACATTTCCAAATATACGATAAAAAAAATAAAACTTACATACAACAACAGTGTTTTGTGTTGTGTAGGCTCCTATTTGTTATGTACAAATGGCTTTACGATACCTATTAGGTCCATCAATTACCATATAACATATATTCAACACAAAAAACAGCAACAGTTTGTTGTTGACAAAGGACAGCTGGACATAGAAAGGGCCCCATTACCTTCAGTAGCTTAGAGCCTCATCAAACGTAAATCTGGCCCTGGCTACCTCACAGGGCTGTTGAGAAGGGGAAGGGAGCCCTATGCACTGCTTTGAGTTTCTGGGATAAAAGGTGGGATATCAATGCAATGCAATCAATCAATCAATCAATCAATCAATCACAACCGTAAGATTGAATCCAGCACCCTGCAAAGACCAGTTAAAGCTCCTGTGGTTTCCCAGAGACAGACAGCAGGAGAGAGAAAGGGGTTTTCCAGGTGGCTAATAGGAACGGGATTTCTCCCTGGATGACTCCTTTTCCTACCCCTCCTCCCATTCTGCACCCAAAGCGAGTGAGGCCGGCGGCATCCCGTCCAGGCTGCCTGCCTCATCCTTCGGACCTTTGAACCCCGGCTGGAGTTTGACCCACGCGAGCGGGAGAAGACTGCACACCTGCCGCCATCCTCTTTACCTTTTCACACGGCACTGCCGGGCACTGCACACGACCCACCGCAATATTTAACAGGGACTCCAGGGTGCCCTGGGGCAGAGCGCCTTCCTCGCCCGACGCCAGGAGGGTCCGCAGCTCCAGCAGGGCCGGGTCCAGGCTGGCATCCTCCGGGCCGGGCCCTGGCATTGCCATCCCTGGGAGGCAGAGCAGGAGGACGACGGCGACGACGGAGGCTGTCCAGGGGAGAGGTGTCATGGCTGGGTTGGCAAGGTTGTCTTCTGGAGACTGGCAGGTGTGCCTGCTGCTGGCTGGCTGCTTCTCCAAGACAGGCTTTGGGGCAGGTGCTGTAGACTCTCGGCTGCCCCGCTCTGCCGCTTGCGATGATTGGCTCAGGGTGAGATTGCCTCAGGTTAACCATTCCACAGAACCTGTCCAGCTACGCAGATCCCTCACCTTGATAGAGGGGCAGGTCTTGGCAAGCAGAGAGGCAGAGGCGGCAGACCCTGCCTAATCCGAGCTCCTGGGTCACCAGGAAAAGAGGCGAGCAGCCAAGGCTCCAGCCAGGGAGGAAATGAGCCAGCTTCAGCCTCCAGCTTCTTGCCCAACCGTCCTCATGAGCTCACCCACCCAACGTCCCCCTTTGGGGTGGAAGGGATCCTCCGCTGTTACCTCATATCCAGGCCACAAGGGTGAGGATGAGGAAGGAGGGAGCGAGCGAGGCATTCGGTGGGACTTTTCACAACCAGCGCTCAGAAGATCCCCTTTCAGCCCAGAATGAGTCATTTTTGTGTGTGTGTCAAACAGTTTGAAAGGCTCCTGGCTGGGTTCCAGGACAGAGGGACATCTAAAGTGTGTGATTTTTTTCTTTTCTTTTTGGGGGGTGTGAGCGTTTGGTTTGTGTGTGGATGTGTGTTTTTGTTGGGCTTTCTGTAAACTGCATTAAAAGCTTTCCAGAGGATTAGTATTCCACAGCACATATTGAAAACAGAGTTTTGTGGCACCTTAAGGACTGACCGATTCATTACGGTATCAGCTTTCGTGAGCCCACAAAGGCTTATGCCACAACCAGAGAGCCTTTAAGGCATCACAAAACTGTTGTTTGTTGGGTTAAGAGAGAGGGGAAAGATCCTCGCCAGAAGAGGACACTCAGCACGTGAACTGAGTTAGTTTGCCTTTATTTCCTTTAAAAACACACACACACACAATCGGGGTGGGGAGCACTTTGCACGTGCTCAGAGGGTACTGGCTCAAAGTGCCAGATTTTTTTCCAATACGAAAGGGGGCAACGTCATACGGGAAATTTTAAAAGGGTAATTGTTTAAACCTCAAACGCAACATTTTAGGCGGTGTAGGTTTCTCATCTGCAGGGGCTGCCAAAAAGGGAGAGATTGAGACATTGCTCAGGAAATAATAATAACAATAATAATTTATTATTTATACCCCCACCATCTGGCTGGGTTTCCCCAGCCACTCTGGGCGGCTTCCAACAAAATATTAAAATACAGTAATGCATCAAACATTAAAAGCTTCCCTAAACAGGGCTGCCTTCAGATGTCTTCTAAAAGTCTGGTAGTTGTTGTTCTCTTTGACATCTGGTGGGAGGGCGTTCCACAGGGCGGGCGCCACCACCGAGAAGGCCCTCTGCCTGGTTCCCTGCCTCAAGGCACTGAACAGGAGACAGCGCCTAAACTAGGAGCAAAGGATGTCTTTGAAGAAGTGGGCACCCAGCAGGATTCCACAGGTGCCCTTGGGCTCCCTCCCCTGCGTTGGGAACGCACTATTAAAAGCATCCAAACAGCTGGTGCTTTAGAAATAAGAAATTATGTCTGGTTACGGCATTACGAGGAACAGTTATGCACCTGCTAATCTGCCTCTCCCTCTCCCATCATTCCAGCTTTGTTCTTCCTCCAAGCCCTCGGGGACTGAGCGCCCGACATTCCTGCTCCGACTAGCTTGCTCTAACCCCTAGAGGCCACAACCCTCTTTCCACCTGCTGGGAATGAAACCCAGCCGTGCTGACGCATCTCCTTGCTCTTTCGCCACACCCCTGTTTTGCGGTCCTAAAGAGGACCCAGGAATGTCGAGGGCCAATTTCCTTGACTTTCCGGAGCATAAACAGCACATTCCTTGGCCACCCAGGGGCATGCCCCTCTGGCTGAAGTATCCAGACAGGCAGCACAGAAGCAATGCATAGGGTGTGAGAGAATCAGTGCTGCCTAGTGGTTAGAGTGCTGGACTAGGACCCCGGGGAGACCGGGGTTCGAATTCCCACTTGAACATGAAGTTCACTGTGTGACCTCAGGCCAGTCGCTTTACAGGATTGTCGTGGACTTTACGTTGTTCTCCTGCTTCTCACAACAACCCTGTGAGGGAGGCTAGCCTGAGAGGCAGCGACTGGCCCAGGGATTTACCTGGTAGAAATCACAGGTGCGTGTCTTCACCTGCCTCCCTCTCCAGGGATATCAACACAGACTTCTGTGTCACCTTAAAGACTCATGCATCAGCTTTCCTGGGCTGATGCTTGAAGTGTTATCCTGAGTTTCAGATATATTCGCTTTGGGAAGAGGGCATTGCAAGTAGGCAGGTCAGAGGGAATGAAAAGCAGATAAGAGCAGAGATAGAGTTAGTTGCGTAAGCAACAGGGGCAATACACAAAACATTAGTTGTTGGTTACGCAGACATCCTGGCATTGGAAAGCCAATTAGCGCAGGTAGTGTGATTTCTTTTATATATATAAAAAAGACCCTATTGTTCTGATCCATTGCGCAAATGGTAGCACTGAATAGGGATAATTATAGCATTTTTTCTTAAAAAGCAAGAGTAGCTGAGCTGGTTTGCAGGGCTGCGGAGGGGAATCTCAAAAAGTAAAACCTTCATTAGGGCTCGCCAGAAAGTCAACAAACGTGGCAAGCTTCTGAGTGCAGCAGAAGTCTTCAAGAAGGTGGTATGATAGACATGTTCAAATATCTGAAGGGTTATAATAATAATAATAATTTTTTATTTATACCCCACCCTTCCCGGTTTAGAAAACCGGGCCCAGGGCGGCTAACAACAAATTCAAAACACTTAATTGATGCAACAAAAACAGCATAAAATACAGTATAAAACGTAAATAACAATAAATTCAGAATTCAAAAATCAATTTAGGGGGGAAATCCATCCAATAAACATTAGAGGATCACCAGGGCTAGCTGGCTAAATTAGTCCTATCTGGGCCAGCGAGGAGACCAGGGGAGAATTAGCTGTGGGATCCCAGAGTGGGTAATCTTCATAAAAAGGGGAGAGGGAGGAAAGGAAGGGGAATAAAAGATCAGACTAAGTTCAAATTGAAAGCCAGGCAGAATAGCTCTGTCTTACAGGCCCTGTGGAAGGAAGTTAAATCCTGCAGGGCCCTGGTCTCATGGGACAGAGCATTCCACCAGGTTGGAGCCACCACTGAGAAGGCCCTGGCCCTGGTGGAGGATAATCTGACTTCCTTAGGGCCCGGGCTGACACATGGAGGATGGCAGAAAGTTGTTCCAATGGATTCCAATGACAAGGAAGGAGATTCCGGCTATATCAGGAAGAACTTTCCAATGGCGAGGGCTGTCAGACTTTGCAGCTGGCTCCGTTAGAAGATGGTGGACTCTCCTTCCTAGGAGATTTTTAAACAGAGGCTGGGCGGCCATCTGTCCGGGGTTCTTTAGCGGTGATTCCTTCATTGCAGGGGGGTTGGACTAGATGCCCCTTGCGGGTCCTTCTAACTTTTTGGAGTATTGTGAGTCAATGGATCGGAACTTGAGTATGCAGAACTTCAGGGAAATTCAACAATTCTGCAGAATCTTTACTGGGCGTTACTATATATCACCTGTAGCAATTGTGTTACTGGTTCCACTCCACCCCCTGCGACTCGGTGTCCCTTGAGAGAGAGAAAAGATTTCCCAAGCACCTCCGCTTTCTGTTTATGTTTCAACGTCTATTTTCTTGTTTGAGAAAGGCTTGAAGCTAAAATCTTTTCAAAGCCAAGAACTGAATGAGTCAGCATGGTGTAGCGGTTGAGCAGACTAGGAAGACACGAGTTCAGGTTTCACTTCTTCCAGGAACTTGCTGGATGGCCTAAGTCATGCTCCTGAGATTTCTCAGTCCCTCCCAACCCTACAGTTATTTTCTCAGCTTTCTTGTAAATGTGACTGAGCTTGTTTATTCATTCATTTAGAATCACAGAACTGTAGAGTTCTCCTACAGTCGGAAAGTTATCTCCTTTCTTGTAACTTGAAGCCACTGGTTCGAGTCCTCCCTTCCAGAGCAAGGGAAAGCAAGCTTGCTCCATGCAGCACCCTTTGAGATATTTGGCTCTCCTATCTCCTCTCAATCTCTTCTTTTCCAGGCTAAACATACCCAGCTCCTTCAACCATTCCTCATAAGGCAGGCACCCCCAACCTCCTGCCTTATGGCCTACAACTCCCATGATCCTTAGCTAACAGGACCAGTGGTCAGGGATGATGGGAATTGTAGTCCAAAAACCTGGAGGGCCAAAGGTTGGGGATGCCTGTCATACGGCTTGGTTTCCAATTCCAGACCTTTTATCATCCTGGTTGGCCTCCTCCGCACACATCCCAGCTTTCTGCGTTTACCGGATAGCTCAGTTGGTAAAGCATGAGACCCTTGATCTCATCTCAGGGTTGTGGGTTCGAGCCCCACGTAGAGCAAAAGATTCCTGCTTTGCAGGGGGTTGGAATAAATGGCCCTCGTCATGGTCCCTTCCATCTTACAGTACTATGATTCTAAAACATGAGGATTTGGCAAGTACACTGACTTCATTTATATTCCACCTTTCAGCCAAGGGGCTATGGCTGCATTCAGTCAGTCAGTCAGTCAGTTTTATTGCACATAGCCAAGGGCTGCCGCAATGTACACAGAATCAATCCACAATTAAAATAAAATATGCTGGATTAATACAAAAAACTTAAAACATTTATATTATCAAGACATTACCTACTCTAAAAAGAGCTATAAAAGTATCTTAATATACAGGTTAAGACCTTAAACAATAAAATTTATAGGCTAAAATCATCACATGGCCACTAATATATTAAAAAATAATGTTAATTAATACAATGCGCAATTATATTCGGAATTTGGTGATAAAGATAGAATATAGCTTGATGTAGATAGGGTCAAATAAATTCATCTCCTTTACAGTTGGTGGCTACCTTGGCTATATAATTTGCTCTAATTTTTCTAGCAGCAATTGCAAAGAGTGCTACACGCCAGGTCACATACTTATCTGTGTTTGCGAGGAGATATAAAATCATGTCAGAGGGGTTCTGGCTTGGGGACCTTGTCATTATAGGTGCTAAAAATCGTTCTCTTGCTTCATTATATAAGGGGCAGTGCACGATATAATGCATAAGGTCCCCTACTTCAGGACATCCCCTAATGCAAACAGGTTCGTTTGTTGGTAGGCAGCATTCATTAAATCAGAGATGGAAGGGACCCAAAGGGTCATCCATTCCAACCCCCTGCAGCCCATGATTTCTCCTGTCCTCCATTTTATCCTCACCACAACCTGCAAACTAGGTTAGGACTAAGAGATGATGAGTGGCCCAAGGTCACCCAGGAAAGCTTCATCGCTCACTGGAGATTCGAACCCTGGTCTCCCAGGACCTAGTCTGACGCTCTAACCACTACATCACGTTGTCTCTCCAGCATCTGAGAATGTTCTGAAAGTGCTGTGTAACTGCTCAGGTTATAAATAGCTCCTAACTTACAAGCACAACAAAACAGGGTAATGGAACATTAAATACGTGCAGATCTGGCAAAAGCTTTGGGGGATTACTGTAGAACCTCTTTCATCAGGTGCAAAACAAGAAACCACCATGAAAGCAGATTACACCATTATAAATCTGCGAGTCTTTAAGGAGCCACAGGAATCTCTGTAGTTTTTGCTGCTCCCTTGCACACCTTCAAACTTACAGAAGAACCTGCAAGGTTGTTGGTTTTTAATTATCATTTTGACGCAAATTATAACCCTGGAACTTTGCCGCTATGCGCTGATCTCACAGAAATCCTCCCTGACAATCTTGCTGTGTACAAAGAATGTCCTCTTTTCCTCTGCGGTTTAGGTTTGTGATGCTTAATGAGCAGAGCGATGTGGCCAAGACAAACAGCAAGCAGAGATAGACAATCCATTCTGGTTTGGTGGCTGCAATCCTGGCTCCACACCCTTAAAGTTAATAACCGGAGGCTCACTTGGAGCAACAAGCCCCGCTCGCTCCAGGATTAGCCCACTCCTAGGGGCTCAGCTGTGCTAAGGGCTAACCAAGCAAGGCCTTAAGCCCCAGGTGGAAGGAGAATTGTCGTCCCAACCTCCCTGCTCTGACTCTGTCGAGATGGCAAGGGGAGTCAGTCATAAAAAGCAGAGACATCACGTTGCCGACAAAGGTCCGTATAGTTCAAGCTCTGGTTTTCCCAGTAGTGATGTATGGAAGTGACAGCTGGACCATAAAGAAGGCTGATCACCAAAGAATTGATGCTTTTGAATTCTGGTGCTAGAGGAGACTCTTGAGAGTCCCGTGGACCCCAAGAAGATCAAACCTATCCATTCTGAAGGAAATCAGTCCTGAGCGCTCACTGGAAGGACAGATCGTGAAGCTGAGGCTCCAAGACTTCATGAGAAGAGAAGACTCCCTAGAAAAAACCCTGATGTTGGGAAAGATTGAGGGCACAAGGAGAAGGGGACAACAGAGAACGAGATGGTGGGACAGTGTTCTTGAAGCTACCAGCATGAATTTGACCAAACTGCAGGAGGCAGTGGAAGACAGGAGTGCCTGGTGTGCTCTGGTCCGTGGGGTCACGAAGAGTCGGAAATGACTATACGACTAAACAACAACAACAACATCCTTTCAATTTGACAGCTCAGGGAAGTTACCTAGCTTTAAAAATAATATAAAATCAACTCCTTTGCCAGTTTCCTCCATTCCAAAGCTATTTTCCCCTTGAAAAAGGACTCCAGGAAGTTCCCAGAGGTGACAATTGCTGAGCTGATTGTTGGCCAGGGAAAGCCTAATGCCATCACCAAACTTGCCAAGGGCCCAGACATGCAAAGGAAGTTCTCTTGTACTTTGGGTGGTGGGACTTCAGAGGTGTTTGCCTATGCTAATCTTATACCTGAGTCTTCCCCTCCCATGTCTGCTTATGCTAATGTTGTACCAAGGACTTGTCTGGACATGTTTGCCAAGGTTAAACTAGTGTAACCCCTGTCTACCCCTCCCCTTTTGTTACATGTCAGTGATGTAGCAATGATGCTGTACGAACTGTATTCTGGGATATGGTGGGAAAGTTTTAAAAGTCTTTGTCACCCCATCCTCGGGGTTCAAAATTCCTCTTTGAACCTGTTGCGCAACAAACTTGGGTCTACAGCTATTTGCTCCGGTTGGTGGCTGGACTCCTTCCTTTATTCCGCAGGGACCCGCGGGCTCAGCCTGATGAGCTGGGTGACTTAGCAGCCTCACACCTAGATTTTTCCATAACAACACAGAGGAGAGGTCTATTGGTGGCCACTAGCCCCCTGTGCTCTGCCACCAGAGTCAGAGGTTGTATATGTTTCTGAATGCCAGTCACTGGAAACGGTTGCCAGACTTTGGCACCGGTTTGAAGTGGACAGCGTTGGGTTTTGGGGCAATAGCTACGACCGTAGGTTTGAGCAGCAATTGCTCAGTTTGCGGGACGCTGCGGAATGTGGAGTTTTAACAGAAAAACAGTACCAAACAACTGCAACAGTTTGGCACCGGTTTGGAGGGGACCCCAATTTTGAGGAGTTCATAGTTAATGTTAAGTACGAACCCCACATTTGATGTATCAATTGATCAGTTTTGTGGGGTGCTGCAAAACACAGTGATCCATGCGACGGTCATCTCCAGGCTTGACTACTGTAATTCGCTCTACGCAGGGCTGCCCTTGAAGCTGTCCCAGAAACTCCAGCGGGTGCAGAATGCTGCAGCGAGGGTCCTCATGGGGTCTCTGCCATTTCAAGCTGCACTGGCTCCCAGTGCAGTACAGGGTCAGATTTAAGGTGCTGCTTTTGACCTTTAAAGCCCTTCACGGCCTAGGACCCTCGTACCTATGGGACCGCCTCTCCTGGTATGCCCCATGGAGAGCCTCAAGGTCCATAAATAGCAACACCCTAGTGGTCCCGGGCCCTAAGGACGTTAGATTAGCTTCAACCAGAGACAGGGCCTTCTCAACTCTGGCTCCGGCCTGGTGGAACGCTCTGCCTCATGAGACCAGGACCCTGCAGGATCTGATTTCCTTCCGCAGGGCCTGTAAAACAGAGTTGTTCTGCCTGGCCTTTGGCTTGGAGCCAATTTGATTCCCTCCCTCTCTTTCTTTTTTCTTTTCCTTCTCCTCCTGCGACGAGGCTACATTTTAATATTTTAATGTTTCAATATTTTAATGTTGTATTTTAATTTTGTTTTTAAGTTGTATTATTGCTTGTAAGCCGCTCTGAGCCCGGCCTTGGCGGGGAGGGCGGGGTATAAATAAAAATTATTAGTATTATTATTATTAAAACAAAAGCAAAAACAAAACCCCACCTGCAAAACTTTGGACTGGGTTTAGAGAGGATCCCAGATTTTCGGGTTCGTAGTTAATTTTCTTGAAGTGGCCTCTCTTGTGATCGAATCACTGCCTCTCAGCCCAACTGACCTCACAGGGTTGTTGTGAAGATTGGAAAGGAGAAGTGTGGACACCAACTTCCTTAGAGGAAGGCAGGATATACGGCAAGTCATGAGAGATACTAACCCATTTCCTCAAAAGGATATATTAGAATTATTGCGAGAGTTCAGAAACCAAAAACTCAGTGACCCCTGCCCAATTTAAAATCTAAATAAAACCAGTATTATTATTATTTTTAAGCTGCTTGTTAAAACCTCTTTCTCTCTCTTCTGCTCTGGGTGGGGGAATAATTTCCCCACCCAGAGCAAAGTGTTCTGCTGCTGCCATGCCTCTCCTCCTCCTTTTCCCCCTACCTTCGTCACGCACCTTTTAAGTTAACTTCAATATTTGCCCACTTTCTTTTCGCTTGCTTCTCTGCTCCCATTCATGGAAAGGAATCTGAGCTCTTTCAACATAGGAAGGGCCCCTGGGATTGCCTCATCGTGGGTGGGGGGGTTCCCCAGCGACTTCACTCCCGCCAGCTTCCTCATAGCTGGGATGCCTCAGGCCATACGGACCCAGAGGAGGAAGAACAGGATGTGTACCTGGGTGTCTGTATGGTGAGTGGACAGATGGCAAAATCTGGGCACCGCTGGGTTCTCGAGGGCAGAGAGAGCCTGCCTAAAGTCTCTCTCCCTCTTTCATAACACTATGGACACGCAACGAAACTGAATGCTGGAAGATTCAGGACAGGAGGCGGGAAATGTAATTTGTTGCGCAATGCATAGTTAAACTGTGGAACTCACTGCCAAAGGAAGCAGTGATAGCCGTCAACTTGGATGACTTTAATAGAGAAAAGCGGATAGAGAAAAGTTTTCCTTCCTTTCTCGTAACTCAAAAACTCATGGACATCCAATGAATTTGAATGCTGGGAAGCCTGGGGGACAGTTAAACTACACGGCACCTCGTTAACCTGTGGAACTCCCTCCCACAGGAAGCAGTGATGGCCACCAATTTGAAGGGCTTTAAAAGAGGGTTGGACAATTTCACGAACAGTAAGAGCTGTTAACAGTGGAACAGTCTCCCTCTCCTTCCTCAGAGGTTTTTAAGCAGAGGTTGGATGGCCATCTGTCAGGAATGCTTTAGCCGAGATTCCTGCATCGCAGGGGGTTGGACTAGATCAGGCACCTGCAAACTCGGCCCTCCAGCTGTTTTGGGACTACAATTACCTCATCCTTGACCACTGGTCCTGTTAGCTAGGGATGGTGGGAGTTGTAGTCCCAAAACATCTGGAGGGCCGAGTTTGGGGGTGCCTGTTTGGGTCCCTTCAAACTCTAAGATTCTATGAGGAGAGGGCAACTGATGACTACTAGCCAGGATGACAATGCTTTGCCTTCAGGGCTGGAGGCAGCAAGGCTTCTGAATCTCAAGTCCTGGAAGCCACAGAAAGGGAGAGGGCTCTTATATTCAAATCCTGCTTCTTGGTTTCCCACGGATTCTGGTTGGCCACTGTGAGAACAGGATGCTGGTCTCAATGGGCCACTGGCCTAATCAGTCTTTAACATCACCAGTAACATCTTTTTTTAAAAAATTAATTTTTATTAAGTTTTCCATTTTAACAAACCAATCAGATCACATTAAGTATTCCAAATTATATAAATACATATATAGTCCAAATATTTTGCCAAATTATAAATTTTTGTTGGGGCTTCCCATGCTTCAAGTTCAGTGGGGCTCTAACCATCTTATGTTTCTACTGCCTTGAGTTTCCAATAGTTCCTTCTTTAAATCTTCCTGTTGTTATCCTTCCTTCTTTCGTGGCCTCTGAGTTGTTTTCACAGGCGAGTTGAAGTAAACAATAATGTGCTTCTGTGTGAAGTTTGTATGACTCTCCTTTTTTTTTGCAGCTGGTAAGTCTATTGTTTGCAGAATGTCCTCACACACATTTATGTTTATGCCGAATCAATCCAAAAGTCCTTTTCTAGTGGCAGATGCCATCTTCTCTCTGTTCCGATGAAATAAAATCTAGGCGTTTGCCCATTAATTTTCTCAGACAGGTTGCATCCAACATTAGTCTTTCCAGGGGAGATTTGCCAAATCAGACTTGAAATACAGATATAATAACAAATTAAGAGCTCACCTCCCCCATGACTATTTATCTCTGCAACACGATCTTATCACATAATGGCGGATCCCAATTAAAAAATGCGTCACATCACCCTTCTCAAAGTCCATCCAAAGTTTTTGGGTGTCTTTCCAGCGGCTAACGAGATCCTGCTTCTTTCTAATATCAATATTTGGAGAGTCTTTTATCTTCTTCCAAGCGTTTCAAAAAACAAAAGCTTTAGTTATATAGTATTGTTATTTCCACACAGTTTATATTTTCTCATCTCACTTGCTGTAAATAACGTAAACGGTTCTTCGGGGGGGGAGGGTTGTTAGGTATTATCGTAGTAGAAAAAGAAAAAGTTTTATCCCCTCTCCTTTCCATTCCATTCCAACATACCGGCTTAGATGTTATTTTTAGATGTTATCTTTCTTCCTCTCCGTCACTCTTGGCACCTCAGTGGCTGGCTTAATTGGCAGATTAATTACCCCTTCTTCGCTTGAAGCATGTCCAAGGACTTAAATCCAATTTTTTATCTTAAGAAATGGAACTAGGTGCGCTCGCGGAGACAGCGTCCAGGAGATCCGAACTCCCTCGGGGGCTTTCCATCCAGTGCCCCCACCCTCTCCTTCTTTACGAACTCGGGGGTGGTTTGTTGGGCACAGCGGATGAGACTGCATCTTCCCTTCCACCGGGAAGAATTTGGGAGGCTGATTACTCCCATCTCAGCTTCTAAATTACCTCGTGGGAGCTGGAGAGATGGTATTGTCGGCCATCTTCCGTGGTGCCCCTAGAGGAGCCCCCAATATCAGCAGTAACATCTAGACCATGGGAGCGTTTCAGCCCTGTTCTTAAGTTTGTTTAAAATCTAAAACAACTTATCCTGTATTCCTTTCTTTGAACTTGTGCCATTTAGGTTTTTTAACCTTTTTGTAAAAGCAGCACTAGAATTTTCACAGTTGAGTCCTCGACCCTTTATTACTGTGCTTTGCTTTCTTCAAGTTGGGCTTTGTTTAAAACTTGCCATTTAGGTTTTCAAACCTTTTTTGTAAATTCAGTATTAGAAACTGTACTTTTGAGTCCTTAATCCTTTATTATTTACCTAGGTTGAGCTAGGATTATAATACTTCAGAATTTTTGGGGTTTCTACCCCCTTTTTTGAATTTTGGTCATTTAAAGTTTATGATTTTTCTATTTCCTTCTGAGGAAACTGAATAGTTCAGTGAAATGAGGTTTGTAGCCGGCATCCCGTTAAGGCTTTTTTCAATTTTTAGGTTTTTCTAATTTTTTCCTTAAGCTTTTTGATTTTTATTATTTAGTTTATTTCCACAAGATAATATTTCTAGTCGATTACTTCTCATTTCAGGGATTTTCACGGTATTTCATTTGTTTTGTGCAATTTCTCAGTTCTGTGACTGTCTTTTTTCTATTAGGACTGCCTAAATGGCTTTCTGCAGGGATGAGGTGAAGGGCAGTGACTTCAGCCCAGCTTCTGCAGGGATCAGCTCCGTGATAAAGATCCCCACAGGGAAACTGTTCCTGATCTGGCTGCATCTCCGCCTGACCTGCAGCTGATGTTACTTACATGTGCCATCAGGTGTTAAGGCTGGCAGGTGTGGTTTAGGGGAAGTGACTTTGTTGTGGGCCAAACTGGCCCCCACGCCAAGTCAGATTTGGCCTTTGGGCTGGAGGTTCCCGACCTCTGACACAGAGTTAATCTAAAGAATGAACAGGATGCCGTTGTGGCCTCTAACTTAGAGGCATCCAAAAGAGGATTAGACAGATTCCCAGAGGGTAAGTTTACCTATGAGATCGCCTTGCTCCACGTCTGCCCACTCAGCCGCTTCAAATGGTGGAGGAAATGGCCCTTTTACAGCTGCCACATGATATCTGGACGGCATTTGTAAGAATCACCTCTTTTAGTGAGGCAACATCTTTGGAACTCCCTGCTTCTTGACCCCAGGCAGGAGCCTTCACCACAGTCTTTCTGGCACCTGCTAAAAATATTTTTGTCGAGATGAGCCTTCCCAGATGCTTAGAAAGCTGGTGCCAGTTTTAATCTGTTTTAATCTACTGTTGCCTCAACTATCTGAAAGTTTCACATTATGGTGTATTCATGGTGCTGGAGCAGACTCTTGAGAGTCCCATGGACTGCAAGAAGATCAAACCGATCCATTCTGAAGGAAATCAGCCCTGAGTGCTCACTGGAAGGACAGATTGTGAAGTTGAGGCTCCAAGACTTTGGCCACCTCATGAGAAGAGAAGACTCCCTGGAAAAGACCCTGATGTTGGGAAAGATGGAGGGCACAAGGAGAAGGGGACGACAGAGGACGAGATGGTGGGACAGTGTTCTCAAAGCAACCAGCATGAGGGAGGCAGTGGAAGACAGGAGGGCCTGGTGTGCTCTGGTCCATGGGGTCACGAAGAGTCGGACACGACTAAACGACTAAACAACAACAACAACATCATCTGTATAGCTTGAACTTTTTTGTAAACCGCTTTGAGGGGGGGGTGTTGTTGTTTGCAATCAAGCAGGGTATAATTTTTACAAAATGATGGAAATCCTAAGGGTGTCGGCAGCTATACTGTCAATGTCACTGTGCCCTCAATTGGCAGCTGTCCTCCTGCCCTGGTTGTGGGTCCTCTAGAGTCCTCTGGGACCGGCTACTCTCCAAAGGAAGGAGCTGGATTCTGCTGTCTCCCTTTGGTCTGATCCAGCAGCAGCTGAGTTCTTTTGACATTCTTAATGGCGACAGAAAGTTCCTCTAAAGCTTGTTTAGAGCTGCTGGGATCAGAGCGCGGACAGGTAAACCGAAGTCCAAGACCTTGTCTTCATGCCAACTTCTCCCCAGTCTTGTGTGAGATATGATGAGGAAGATTGCAGGTTATATAAGGAGTTTCGGCTTGAATCACCTCTGGCTGACCTCCAGAAGTTCTCCTTGGCTGGTGTGAGGTCAAGGAGCAAATTGTCCCTCTTCCTGCAGTGTTCCGGGATATCACCCTTCTCCAAATTATTGGAAATGATGAAGGTGTGGCCCCGGTGTGTGGCAGCCATGAAAAAGGCAAATTCCCATGCTAGGGATCATTAGGAAAGGAACTGAAAATAAAATCATGATGCCTTATACAAATCTAGGGTGCAGCTGGAGTACTGTGTACAATTTCATTCACCTCGCCTCAAAAGGGATATTGCAGAGTTGGAAATAATAAATAATAATAATAATTTATTATTTCTATCCCGCCCATCTGGCTGGGTTTCCCCAGCCACTCTGGGCGGCTTCCAACAAAATATTAAAATACGGCAATGCATCAAACATTAAAAGCTTCCCTGAACAGGGCTGCCTTCAGATGTCTTCTAAATGTCAGGTAGTTGTTTTTCTCTTTGACATCTGGTGGGAGGGCGTTCCACAGGGAGGGCACCACTACCGAGAAGGCCCTCTGCCTGGTTCCCTGTAACTTGGCTTCTCGCAGCGAGGGAACCGCCAGAAGGCCCTTGGAGCTGGACCTCAGTGTCCGGGTAGAACGATGGGGGTGGAGACGCTCCTTCAGAAAAGGAAAGGTTCAGAAACTGAGCAAGGGGATAGAGTGAAGGAAGGCTGCAGCATTTGAGACTTTTTAGTTTAGAGAAAAGGCAAGCAAGAGGCAACATGGTAGACATTTATGCGTGGCATAGGGCAAGTGGATAGAGAAAAGTTTTTCTTCCTTTTTCATAGCACAAGAACTCGTGGACATCCAATGAATTTGAATGCTGGGAAGATTTGGGACAGTTAAACTACATGGCACCTCGTTAACCTGTGGAACTCCCTCCCACAGGAAACAGTGATGGCCACCAATTTGAATGGCTTTAAAAGAGGATGAGACAAATTCATGGAGGAGGAGAGAGCTACTGATGGCTACCTACAGGACTGCCTCTCCCGGTATGCCCCGCGGAGGACCTTAAGGTCCACAAATGACAACATTTTAGAGGTCCCAAGTCACAAGGTGGTTAGACTGGTCTCAACTAGGGCCAGGGCATTTTCGGTACTGGCCCCGACTTGGTGGAATGCTCTGTCACAAGAGACCAGGGCCCTGCGGGATTTGACATCTTTCCGCAGGGCCTGCAAGACAGAGCTGTTCCACCAGGCCTTTGGTCTGGACTCCCTCTGACCCTTATGTTTCCCTCCCCTTACGGTTTTGATCTATGGGCTACTATTAAAATGAGGCTGCATTTTAA